CATCGCTTCACAAGTTGTGACGTCACCCGCTCTTTCAGAATGCAGAAAGTATGCACATTGCAGCGAGCAGGCATCAACTTGGCTTTGCGGCGGAGACAGCGCAGTGATGGCTCTGCAGACTGAGCTCCGGACAGCGAAGCTTTGCACTGAAAGCTCAAGCTGCGCTCGAATTTCGTCACATCATTGTGATGGGAGACACGCATAGATATTGATTTCGTAATCAGGTACTCCCTCTGCACGGCTGCTACCTTCTCAAGCCCCATCAGTTGTGTGCTTGGACGTATTGTTGTCCGGGAAACAAAAACGGCCCACTAGGCCAAGCAGAGCATTGCAGGGAGAGAAAGCGCTTCATGCGACCTTCTCAAGTAGCCTGAGAAACTCCATTGCGTGCGTGATCAGGAAGCCTCAATCTATCGTGTGCCAGGCCTTATGGAGGCCTGATTATGGAGGCTTCACACCTCGCTCAGGAGGTATCCGGAAGCTGTGAAGCCGTCACCTCCGCAACCATCATGCACTTCTGAAGGACGGAGCTAGTGCTATGTCGGGCCTCCCAGCACCAAATGACTGGCCTCAAAAGATCTCAAAATAAGCATGCTCTGCACTGGATTGCTGTGCATCGCTGCTGTTTCTGCACCAGGCAAGCATGTCCACGTCCAACATGCTTTGTCTCATGTGCTCTCTGCCATAGTCTGCCATATTCTCTTCTCTCAGATGTTGGCTGCTGGATCTGGTGTTTGCGGCACTGGTGCTGACCTCAGAACAAGTTGAGGATAACTTCCTTTCAGCGTTCAGTTTCCGCAGCTGACACACAAGCAACAACTCTGTGAGATTGCGAAGTCAAAATCCCTTCGACATCTGAGGGTCTTGCAGGGCTTCTGTCGCCTCAGCCCGAGAAATCTTAGTCGAAACTCGCGCTGAATCACAAGCGCTACAATCCTTCAAAGCTTTCCAGAGCCCGCCCTGAACACAGCTCTGCACGTCCTGCAGCAGTCGATGGCAGCGCTCAGAGCTTGCCTCCATGAATTCAACAGCAACGGCAAAGATACAAAATGATGAAAACATCCAAACAGGTCGCTGACGTCTCGTATTAAAATTTTGCGGGTTCTGGCGCTAACAATTAATGATTAATCTCCTTACAGTTGATTGGGTTTTGAGGTGAGGCTTGGCTGACTCCTTTGAAACATTTGGCTTTGTAGAAGCTGCAACGTTTCTCAGAACACAAAGAGGGAAAGACCCAAAACTAGGACTTTGATCAAGACTGAATCCTTCTGTGGTACGGTGCACCTGTCGAAGCTGTGTTAGCATATCTCTTGCTAAGAAAGTCTTGCAGGGCTGGATTGGGCTATGTGAAAAATGAGTCCCTCTATGGTTGCAGCATCCCATGAAGGACTGGCAATGAGCAGCAGAGGCAGCAGCAGAGGCAGCAGCAAAATCACAGGCCTGCGTGCACCAGAGCCCGACGTAGATGGCTCCAGCAGCAAGTGCAGCATAGGGATACCTTACAGAGCTTCAAGAGAGTACAGAAGCAGTATGCTTGCCTCGATGCAAGACACAAGCTCTATCATTTCTAGATCCGGCCTGTGAAGTATGTTGGCGTCACCCAACGAGAGCTGCAACAAGAACGTGGACACGCAGACCAACTTGGCGAGACAAGCGTTGAAGCTCAAGTGACTCGCAACTTCTTCTGGCGAAGGCACCACAAGCATCTGTCAGCACCAGGCTAGGTCTTCCTACCCAAGCAAGGCAAAGGTTCCTTTAGTCACAGAGCTTCCCGCTGCCGAAGGCATCCCATGACTCTTCGGCCTATCATGACTGATTCTATGAACTCACAACTGGACGGGGCAAAGCTACCAAGCCAATGGCCTCAGAAAAATGTGTATTTGATACGCAGTGCATCGCCAACGAAGAAGCAGCCAACAACTTACGACTGAGAACAGGCACTGGATGACCTCCTGACATAAGCCACAGGCCTCTCCAGGGAGAAGAGAAAGCTTTCCAAGAAGTCCAGTGGCGAATGGCCAGCCTGGGCACTGCTTCATACGGTTGAGCAACATTGCTACAGAAGAATCATGCGGCCGTCACTCTGAGCCCGTCACCAGGTCGAAGTCCAGAGCCTGCTACATTGCTACATTGCTGATCACACCAGCCCTAGCTAGTGTTCTGTACTCGGCCTGCAGAACCTCCAACTCAGCTCGCGCAATGTCCTGCTTGGAGAATTTGTCCTGACCTGAAGCATGCAAAGCAAGCATGGATGATTCTGTGGTTAGGAAAGAGGCTTGACCGTGTAATGCTCTGCATGGACTCATGTGCTGCGCGTAGACATCTAAATGTTACATGGAAGCTGATCTGGTAAACGCCTGGCAGTTTTTCAACAAGTTGTTGCAAGCACGCTTAAGCAGAGGGCAGGAAGTCAGGACCAGGGGTTTCTGTCTTTTCTTGCTTGCGGTGCAGCAGTAAATAGGTCCTGTCCGCACATGGACCCTTGCTGGATAAGCTCATAGGTACGTCGGCTAGTTCTGTTCTCTTACAGGCGTTTCTCTCGAACGCGCTGGTAACTTGCAAGCACGGTTGACAACAATAACAAAATCTGCAACCAGAGCATCTTTCGTCGGAATCGCTTCAGCACAGGGCAGCAATCTTGTGCCGGCTTTCCACGTAGGGCCAGTTGCTTGCTAAGTCAAGAACTAATGTGCTCGGCCATGAAGCGCAAGTGTTCAGGGTGGTTTGCTCCACCAGCTGCAGCGCCGATCACCTTTGACAACTCGCACCACGAAGACCCTGCTCAACAAGAAATGTATTGCGCTCCCATTATCAGCCTTGACCGCGATGCTGAAGACGGCAATCACAGTGCAATGAGCTCGATCAAGATCCATGCGCTCCTCGCTGCAAGACCCTAAATGAGCGACGGGCTCAATCACCAATTGCAGGTATCCTTGGAGCTTGCGCAGTAGCGGTCCAGCAGCAGAACGCAAACCATGAGCACAGAGTCATCGAGTCCATGCAGCGTGCACACCTGCAAGCGAGAAGGCATTGTCAAGACACATGTGCAGATGCGGGCAAGTCTGCCCACGACTGGACTCCTGACCTTTGCCAACCAGAGGACACTTTGCTGCCGATCTCCGGCAGAAATGCATCGGTAAATGTCCTTTGTACTTCAACGTCTTCTTGCAGACCGCTCAATTCTATTGACCGAGTATGGTCCTCCGGCCACGGGCGAACTCTTTCCGTGTCGTGGTGGCCTGAGGTTCTCCGTTCTCCGCGGTCATGCGACAAAGGCAGCGGCAGCAGCGGCAGCAGCAGCAGCAGCAGCAGCAGCAGCAACCGCAGCAGCAACCGCAGCACAAGCTTGAACGTATGCTTCGTAGGCTTCTGACATCCTTCCAACTGAAGACCATCTGCAAGAAAATCCTGCAGAGATTTGTCCGGCAACTGCACAACAGTTGCAAGGTGATCTGACCGACTCCTGAAGCTGCGATTGCCAAGCAGCTTCGGTGTCATTGGCCTGGAGCGAATTGTAAAAGACATCTTCTTGCTCGGATCCCAGCACAATTTTTGACAGCTGACGGCCTCGAATGTGAAGCAAGGCCTCATAGGAACCTACACGTGCAACATCGTGCAACTAGCAATCGGCGTTGCTTGTTGCTGAGGTATGCTGAGTTTGGCTGGGCCGTTACTGCTGATTTTGCGCCTGGAAAATCATCTTGCCCAGATTGCTACAGCAACACTAAATCAATGGGTTGTTGTACTTTTGCCGAGGCCTTGCAAATCTGACGGCCGTCCTTGGTGCTCCTAACATCTCTTTACGAAGGGTCTCATCTGCATCGAAACTGGCACGGAAATGCTACCATGCTGATTTTCGGTTGGCCTGCTAGTGCCTGCTAGAAAGGCATCAGCGGGATGAGCAAGAAACCAAACGGTTTGGGTGGCAGGGGCACCAAGTGGAAACCGAAGCATCGTTTGCACGCTCCAAATCGGCCCCGCGTCTGCATGCTATGCTTCGAATGAAAACCACACTGCCTGGTCGCCCCTAGAGCAGGGACGACACGGGCTTTGCAAGGAGACTTGTTCAGGCACTTCCGTACACACAACGCTGGAGTGGGGCGATACACCAGGATGATGCGCACAAGGAGAAAGGACTGCTTTTGATCACCAGCATGACTATGTAGGACTTTCACAGCTGCCGAACACTTGCAATCGCCGCATCAAGGGGGAACGCCTGTGCGACAGCTCAGCTGCAGCTTGAGAAGGCCTTGTTTTCGCTGGCATTTTTCAAAATTGACAAAGCTGCATTCGCTGCCAGGGCATTCCAACGGAGTTGGGCAGGCTGCATCGTGTCAAGCGCAAATCAGCGACAAGCTGCTGATGCTGAGGCGAGGTGGTTGTCTGGCGTACGTCAACTGCGCCTCAAGATAAGTTGGGCTCCGGAGCGGGCCTCAGCTCCAGGAGGCTTCGGAGGCATAGTGGTCGGAGGGCGCATCCTCAGATACACTGCTCCGGCCCCTTTCCTGGAAGCCTTGTGCGTTTAGTTCGGCGCATCTTCTCTTGTCTGAGTCGTCCGCAGGGCATTAGCGAGTCCAGGTGGACCCCAGCGACCGAATTTCCTTAGAAGCAGGGTGCCAGCGAGCAAAAAGCCACATGACATCACAAGAATCCAGTAGTTGCGGTCAGGTGGCGACAGCATGAAGTGCATCCATGGGCCAGCGCTATTTGGCGGTCCAGACTGAGGGACTTGGAGCAAGGGTCTGTCCAGCTGGATCCGCATGAAAGCCTCGGCTCCCACGAACCACACGCGTTGGATCTTCAAAGGGAGCACGTTTCCTTTATGCGCTGTCGACAACAGAAGCAGATCACCAAGCTCTCAGCCCACAATTCACAAAGATCTCTTCCAGCATCCCAAACCAGGCGGAAAGAATCGCACATTTCCTGGCGGCGGCAAGATTTGCCGCAAGCGAAATTTAAGAGAGCCTCAGACAGAGGAAGTCACACTCTGCGCGTGCGACCTCATCAGCGTTCAAGTGGACAGCTTTTGGAATGTCCATGGCTGGAGCCTGTCCTTAGAGCACTCCCGATGCCCGCTCTGAACATGACTGAACTCTGTGAGATCGAGTCTGACGACTGGATCAGATTGCATGAAATCCCTGATCTTAGTGGGCCACCGTCAGACAGCTCGCTCTCATAGCTGTTCACCTGGCCCCAGGAGTCCCCATGATGACTAGCACAAGGGGCAGAAGTGTTCATTCGGCCTTTCGGTAAGGAGCGAAGATCTCTGCTCTATCTGAGGCGCGAGGATCCTATTGACGGAAGGCTCATGACATGCACGTGCCATCACGTTCCCAAGCCCGCTTGCCACTTGTTAGAAATGAAATCCTGCCTCTGCTGGAAAAAGCTCCTGTGACGCCACCCACGCTTCCTTGCCATCCATGAACCCGACGTAGACGTCATTGCCGCGGATTTGCTTGACCCGCACTTTCACGCCGCCGCCACCGCCCAGGTAGCCCAGGCTGCCTGCCGCGTCCTCCTCCAGCATGACATACTTCCCTGGAAAGAAAGCCTTCACAGACCAAGGAAAAATTCAAAAGTGAGATGATGCAAAAACACACAAATGTCACGGGTCCCGGCCGCGTGATTCTCCGCTTGGTATGTCCTGCAGCGTAGACAGATACAAGGTGGTACAAGATTTCCTGCCGAGTACAGGATGCTGTGCCTCTCTTCTGCAGCTTGCCATCTGAAGGGTCGACCAGGATGATTCTGTGAGCCTCCCACTACCCGGTTTCGAAGGCCAGGCCAGCATATGCCCGAGTCTGTTGCTATCAAGCTAGGAGGCGCGCCTCCTCTGCGTTTTGCCTCCCTAAACTTCTCAGCTGGCGGCTCCTGAGGATCAGTCAGTGGCGCTATGCAACGACTGTTTACAACTTTGGCCTTGAGGCCCTCGAACGGCGCTCGTGTTGCGCAAAACTTGAATGAGGATTCATCCTGGTAGCCTCACTGCAAATGAGGTGCTTGACATTGGAAACAGTGGATACCAAAAATCCTGCATGACCCCAAGTACTGTCTACCTTGGTAATTATTGGTACTACAGTATACTAAGGTCATGCAGGATGTTTAGTATCAACAGTTGTCAGTAGTCCAACGACTTTGACATCCTCTGAGCCATCAGCCCAGGGTGTTGGTTAAGTCGTTAAGAACCCTCCGTGAATTTTGCGCCATCAACCTCCTGGCAGCGCCAGAGCTTTGGGTGTCAACCGCGAGGGCTCTGGTTTCTGCACCAAACATCTTGCTGTCTCAGGAATCGCTGGGCTCCGGACGCGTGGAACTGGGGCGAGATGATCTGTTTCTCTTGTGTGTGGTCTTAATGTCTGCCAGGAAGGGACGTGTGAGGGCTCACTGTTTAAAGAGGTCATGTAGACCCAGGCAGCTTACACGGCAAGCGGACACTGCTCCGCGGAGTTAGATTTCATTAAGAAGGAAAGCTGTCAACTTATGTAGGACGGTTCATGTACCCGAAGCATTGCGCGCGGCTATCTACAGCTGTGAAGCTGAAAGCTGAGGTGGTCATTTACTTCTTCTGGCACAATTTAATCTGGTGAATCACAGCAGAAGCAAAACAGTGCTGGACCAAGCCATTCTTCTGAAGTTTCCACTGGTGATGTGCTCTGAAGATTCGCATGTTTGCTTTGCACTGCTTCCGCCGCAAGGTTCTCTGTGCTCGTGCTACGCTCCAAGCGGCACCATCGAAGCCCTGCCAGGTGAACCCTTCTCGCACATTCCACAGCTTTCGGGACCTCGGCTTGTCAGAGGTGAGGCGGGTTTGTTCTGGAAGTTGATAGAAGTGCTGCAAAGGTGTCCCCTCAACAAACAGAACCTAGTTTGGGCTGGGCACAGGTTTTCTGCAGCTGCCAGAACCATGGCAAAGAAATCTCATGATGTCGGCTCTTGTGGCACTGGTCTTGTAGATCACTGCACTGAAGAGTGTCCTGAAAGAAGTCCAACTCGCCCGCCGTGTAGGCGGTGAACCTGGGATTCGTATTTCAGACAGCTTCTGAGCTTGTGTAGGGTTTAGCTATAGCACATGCTTCAAGGCAAACCTCTAACTTCGACGCGAACGGCGCAAAAAGATTCCATCATGTTCCATGAACTTGGGATGCGTGCACAGAGCTCGCAGGACGGCAAAGAAAACGTCCTGATCTCTGCAGTCTTGATTCTTGTTCTTGAAGAAATCTGCAGGCCCAGTCATCTTTGTTCTCTCAAAATACTGCAGGCTGCTCTCTGGACATGCCACCTCCGCATTCTCCCAAATGTTCTCTGGCTTGCAGGTGGGGTGAAAGCCCGCGATCATGGCGTCCAGGGTGGAGTTGGGGTAAAGGTAATCCGACTGGAAACCCGCTCGCAGCTTAACCATCTCAAACTGAGCAGCATAGAAACATCTCAACTCCTCTTTATCGTGGCGCCCAGGTTCAAGCGGATCCACATGCGCAAAGACCGGAATGTTGGTGACAGGGTGCAACATATAGGTGAAGGTGGTGTCCTGGGTATCTGCAAAGCCCGTACGTGCACGTGCCAAGCATACACAGGGCTGCACTCAAAAACATTTCTCAGCTAGCGCACTACTGCTTTCTGAGTTGCGTGTCCGCACACTGCGTCGAGAGCTTCACGAGCATCTGCAGCCACTGGCGCAAGGTAAAAGACCCATGCGCCCAGAAGGATGATGGCAATGTAGAAAACGCGAAAAAGTGCATAGAAGGTTTGAACCGACAGGCTCAGGCCACGCGTGGTTTCTGCCGGCATGAGACCGCTGAAGCTAAGCCGGCCCTCATACAGTCGCTCATTCGGAAGGAGAGTATGGTGACGCGAAACATATATCTGTATTGCCATGTGGCTAACCATCGCCGCCATGCGCCGCGGAACAAGCGCCTCGAAAAGAAGCTCATCCACATTCTTGACAAACTCAAGAGCAACTGCGTTGAGAAGCAGGTCGTCGATGTTAATAGTACCAGCTAAATAGATCATGCCATACCATAACAAGAAGACTGCTATCAATAATCTTGGCAGGATCACCATCATCACTGCCAGAACTTTCTGCACTCTTTTCACACCTGTAATTATGTAGCGGCCTTTCCGAAGCTCCCATTGCATCTCTTCAGTCCGTGGGAGTGAGAGCACTACCAAGCCCATGTCATGCCCTGTCCGTCGAAGTTCTGTCGCCATGCTTGTCACCCATACGAACATGGCAAGCATGCAAATCACATCTCCAGACAACTTGCCAAAGGCTCCGCCACGGTTCGTGTATTCTGAGAGCCAATGTGTCGTGTCTGCCATCTCATTATAAAGCTTCTCACTGCAAATCTGCTGGGTCTGTGTTATCAAATCCTTCCGGTCGAAGTTGTGATATGCCTGACCATCCCGTATTCGCTGCTCCCGCAGAACCTCCTTCAAGCTCCCAAGCGGATTCGGCTCCGCAAGCGAATTGATCGCGAGTATGAGACCAACTTGAATGATAACATTCATTATCAACAGAGTTGTTGCCAGGAAGGCATTAAAGTTGCCTACAACCGCCCGAGCTCTGTCCCGCGAATGAAGCATGACAATCAGCGCAGCATCCCAGATAGAATGCTGGAAATCGATGAGCTCCAGTCCAAGAAATGGTGTCGCCTGTTGATCCGGGTGTAGGATTTGGCGCATGGGCTCTGAGCCCGGCATGTGTCCCACGTCATCCTCTGAGTCCATCTCCCCGTCATCCATGTCTGGTGACTTGAAGTCGGCTGGGGCCATGCTTTCTGAAGCAAAGCCAAGGTACTCTGCCCATGACCGGTTGGCTTCTTGCTGTGGGTTGGGGCCTCGAGCCAAAACCTCATGGCACTGCGCGCGTAGTCGTGCCATCTCCTGATAAATTCGCGCGTTTTCTTGCAGGATCGTTTGTCGTACTGATGCATGCACGTTCGCCTGTAGTCGCCGATCAAAGTCTTCAGTGACACCCATTCGGCGCGAAGAGTTTTCAACTTCAGCTCTCAATAAGTCCATCTCCATCCGCAGAGATGGAATCTCGTTTACGATTGCCTGCAACCTTTGGACGTCTGCTTGCACAGTCGCCAGCTGTTGCTGCAGTGCCATAGCTTGTGGAGTCGCATGGGGCAACGGCACTTCTTGATCGAACAATGGCTGCGTTCAATTGCTCAACATGCTGCTCATAGATTAAAGCATACTTGGCTTGCGATGTGGGCCGCAAAGGAAAGGACAACACCACACTGGAGAGCAACCGGACCATGGACCCATCAGCAACTTGGCACCAAATACCTACCTCTTGCATCATTAAAAAGCTGCGCCCAGCAAGCTCTCCTTCTGCAGCTGCTGGAAGAGTGAAAAATCCTGTTGCATAAGAGTGCCTCATCATATGTTCCTTGATCGCTGCAAGGGTCCTGATGTTTGCAAAGGAAGGCCGGGAGGTAGAACGCATCATCGAAAGAGCTCCGAAGTTCAGCCTTGTGTCAAGCTCATCTTGAAGCTCACGGAGTCTTATACAGTCTTAGGGCCGTGCTGGAACGTGCTCCAAGAAGCAGTTGCTCTTCAAATCAGGCATTACCTGAGAGCAGCGTCGCCATACCTTACATCATTTCGTCTCCAAGCTCCAGCTTTCCACGGTATTTGTCCAAGATGCTCAGGTCCCGTGAAGGTCTGCATGTGGTGGCTCATGATGCTTCTGTTGCTCTGCAATCGCCTTGCCATTGCTAGATACTGCAATGTGCTGGCTGTGTGCTCCACCAGTTTCTCTGTACATGGTGCCATATGACAAGAGCATTTGCCCACCAAACAGAACACTCCCACAATCAAATTGAACATGATTCTGAGCGGGAACTTCCAAAATGAGCGACGAACAAATTCAAGCCGGATGGCAACCAACATTCAGCAAAGTTACGGGCAAATGCCACATGCCACAGCTCAATATCTTAATAGCCCGCGGGCCTAAGACTTTCCATGGGATGAGTGCCACCTAACAACATGGGCCTTGCTCACCTGCAGAACCTCATAGCAGAAATCTTGCTTCTACCATTGGCATTTTTAAGAGCTGTAGCAGGATTGCTTGGACCCCCATGGCTCAAAATATGCCCTGTGCAAGGCCGGAACCTGGTTGAAGTGGAGGTAACGTATGGCTACCCTCTTCTGACTCCCCCCTGAAGGTTTGAACCAATACCCTCTGCACTTAAGGAAAACGAAGTAGCAGGAATGCAAAGTTGAAAGTGCAGCGGGGTCTGCCGCAGTTCTTTCATTTTTCAGGCCCACCTTTGACCTTTGTGTATACCTGATCAGATCATCTCAGCTTGCCTGCAAGTGCGTCAACGACTGCGCGCAACTCCTTTGGAGGCGCAGCTATGTCAGCTCTGGCCGAGCGCTGAGAGCGTCAATGTTCTGACCGGGTGCTTGGCACAAGGTGATAGAACAACCCAGCCTAGCTAAGCTCACATTTTACAACCGATTTCCCTATCATGGTCAAGCGTGTTGTCAATAGTTGTAAATATGTGGTGCTGAAGCCAGGCAGGAGAAGTCTTCACTCCAGACTACCCTGCCATTTGACCGCCAGCTATTATTCTTGTCACAGCTCTATCGTGGTCCGTATCAGCCTGGGAGGAAGTCTGGAACAAGCATGCCGAGAACTGGCAAGCACTGATAATGTTTTGATGTGCGCCTTCTCATTTCTTCCGGGAAACAGAATGCAACTCACACAACATGAATACTGGATGATGTATGAATTCTTGCCGGTACTCAGAACAGAGCATGCTTCTGCATCTGGCACCAGAATTGCCAAAAAATATGGAAAACATTAATCATATACTGCTCGGGAGTCAGCCGCAAGCATGCATTCTGCAAGCTCACGGAGCAAAGCAAAAAGAGCGCGCGCTGTCTTAGATAGACGGCCCGGTCGCCAAACCCTTTTTGAGTAGGATCTCGCAACGGAACGAGAACAAAAATGTCGCGGGTGAAGTCCATACGGTCAACCAACTGACCGCAGCTGATCTGGTTGCATCAGAAGAACACTTCGACATAACCGTCAGAGGCTATCGCCGAGACTCGCAGGCACTCTGTGGGGTTCCCTTCCAGAGCTTGCATCAAGAAACCTGGCATCGACTGTCCCTTTGCAAAATCAGCCGCCGACCAACCGCGGAGATTCCGAATGTCCAGCCGAGCTCCTGCTGCTACAAGGGCCGCCGCACCTGCATATTGGGAAGTGTTTACAGCTAGCATCAAAGGCGTAGCTTCCGGTACATGGTGGAGGGACTTTGTGCATGCACTTGCCGTGCCGTATGTGTGCTGAAGGGACTTGAGCGTAGTCAGAATTCCAAAAGCTACAGAATGCTTCCACACACTCCGCGACTTGTTAACATTCGCTCCCTTGCTCACCAGCCATTGCACCAGTTCTGCAGTGCCTCCGCGATGCAGCATAGCGCAGAACAATGCATCTGACATATCAAAGCTGCGTCCTCCAAATCCTGACTGGCTTTGGCTGAGAAGCTCCTCCATGGCAGCCATAGAGCCACAAGCGCAAGCTGACTCGAAGGCCGAGATCCCAAAAAGGTTGCGTGCATGTGGGCTGCAGCCAGACTCACATAAAAGACGCACGCCCTCGGCGTTGTTAGCATCCGCTGCACAAGTCATGGGCGGGCGAATCTGGCCACTACCGTTGACTGCGGCCCCGGCTTCGATCAACAAGCGCGCTGCCTTGTTGTGCTTGTACAAGAGACAAATGGAAACTGCTGAGGTCAAGGGAGGGATTCCAACCCGTGGTTGGTCTCTCCGTGTCTTGCAGTTTGGATCAGCTCGCTGGTCCAGCAGGCCTTGAATCAGCGTTGGGTCTCCGCGCAGGGACGCGTAGTGCAGGGGTGACCATCCTGCGCGGTCCCTCTGGCGCACTGAAGCAAAGCCATTTTGGAAGAGGAAGCTTGCCACTGCCATGGATACGGAGTCCGTCTCGGTGTTCATCGAAAAGCCGGGGACTGGCTCGTGCAGAGTTTCTGCAGGAAGGCCACTTAGGTAGACACCCTGCAGGTTCAGCACTAGGCGGTAGCTCACCTAGATTTCGAACATGGCTTCTGACAGAAAGACAGGAAGAGCTGCATCACCGGTCAATAATTAAGATTTAACTGAAGTTCTTTCAGCTCCAAGTTCAAGACCCAGTTACAAGGTCTTGGGATTGTAGTAGCATATGCAGCTTGCGCCGAAGAGCATCCACCATGACCGGCGCAAGAGCCGTTCGATCCTCTGCCACGGAAAACTCCCCTTCGCCAGGCGGCCCACCACCCACGGAGGCCTCTTTGCCGAGCACAAGCTCCACATTAGTAGCGCTCTTGACCTTCGGGTCTGCGTTGAAATCCCTTACCTCTTCCAACAGAAGCAAAGCGAATTTTTTTGGAGACACCCCTGCCATGATCCATGACTCATCGCTGCAGAGCTCACGAAGGGCTCTCTCCACCCTGCACCATCCACCTGGGTTTGCTGTGTCCCAAATTTGATGTTATGGGAAAGGTCGTTTATAGATAACAAGCAAGAGGATTCAACATGCCCTTTTGCAATTCCGCCACGTTCGGCCCAACTCGCTGGTGTAAAGAGCATGGACTGGCTGGGATTTTCGACCACGGGGCAAAGAGCAAGAAAGAAGCTGGAGGTGTTAACATAAGCAGGAATGCTAGCAATCGCATTGAGGAGCTGGCTGCGGTTCTCGTTGTCTCGCCGCTGTGACGTGTACTCCAGCTGTGGACAGGAAAAATAATCATACCAAATAAAGAGCGGATCTGACCGAAGCTCTGCAGTACGAAGCCCCTTGGCACTTGGCATCATCGTCTCGGTGACCAGGTCTACAGGTATGACCTCTAGTTCCGTCGTTACGTAAGTAAGAGCATCCTGCAACACCTTCAGCTGCTTGAACTCCGGGTCAGGATGCCGGTGGCCAACCCACTGATGCGAAACAAACATGGCCTTGCCCAAACTGTTCTGGAATTCGACAAGACGACCAGTGGCCTTCAGCTCTTCATGCGGGATCATCTCACCCATCTGAAGCAGCACTTTCAGGGGCACCGCGTACATTGGGAAGCACATGCGAGGCGGCTGAGGTTCCGCCTCCGTCAGCCCTTTTGCATATTCTGCTGGGGGGCTTTGCTTGGATGTACCAGCACAGGCACATCGCACCATGGCCAAGCGCGACCCAGGTCTGCCTGTTTCAAGAGTGCGGGGGAAGCTACAAACCGAGCCGAGACGATTCGGAGTCAATATGTGGGATTGCAGCCACCACAAGAGTAGTTATACATCCGGTTGACATGATTGTTTTCCCTGAACTGGGTGACACTTGGAGCAGTTGCTCCTTGAGGTTTGCAGCTCGCTGCAGCAAACCCCTGTCGACCGCTGGGACTACGGGATATCAGCGCGGGCAGTGGCCCAGTCCGGAGCCTGCAAACAACGTCCGCATGCCACTTGTCGTGCTTTGCTGGTGCATGCACCTCCGATGTAAAAGCACCGCCATCTGGCAGTGCATATGTGAGGGCATGGAGGAAGATGCCACCTTGCTGCAGCTATCCAACATGCGAAAGCTAACGAGCACATGGGCGCCAAAATCTTCCCTGAAACTCTTAAGCCACAGATCACAGAATTTGTAAACAGCAGGAATCTCCAACTTAGAGTCATATTGGTCAGGTCCGACACGCAACGCTCCCAAATGCGTGGCACAGGGTTGCTTGCAGCTAATACCTGCCAACATGAAGCCCAAGCACCCCTCCAATCTTCAATCCAAGCCAAAGACAATTAGAATGGATGCTGGGATGCCAAACCAATCTCCCGTCCGAACAGTTGCAACTGATTCCTTGAACAGCCAAGCGGCTGGGATGCATGGTGGCCTCTTCAAGACGTCACATTCTGAACAGAATGAGACGGTGGGAATTGCATGGGGCATACAACGCGAAATCCTTTGCGACTTCTTGGGAGCAAATCAGCCGCGCTTTCCAATCCGAGCTGTCAGGGTTGGAGGGTGAATTGATATCGCCACCATTCCCAACCCTATCACGTAGCACGAAAGATTTCAAGGCCTCCTCGACCAAAGTAGCGCTCTGCGCCTTCGACAAGCCGAAGTTGTCCGGTCAAGCAGAGCAATTGCATACCGAGGGATGGTGGGATGGTGGGATGGTGGATTGCAACCTCACCTCCTGGCGGATGTGCGGGATCAGCGGCAATGTGGAGTCCTTGGCTTATCAGGAGCCACATACAGTGGATGGGGATCAGAAGTCCGCCAAGAGACCACATGCCAAGCACCAGCAGAACCTGCCGATGGCACTCATCTTGCCGAGTTGCGTTTCGGAGCTCACCACCATAGCAACCTAGGACGTCAGGATGTCATAACTTGCCAACCTGCAGGCCAGGATGAGAGGACCGGAAGCTGTACTAAGGCTCTGACTATCGTTGGCAATAGGGAACCCGAGATGGAGTAAATGTACTCCTGGCAAAGCAATCCCAACACCTAATGACTCTTGCGTTTACTTTGCGCAAATGGAAACTCAAATCACAGGTAGGCCCAACACTAATTTGGTGGGTTCTGCCAGTCGCGGGATAGCAACGAACCTTCAGCTTTCTTTTGCAGCCCCTTCTGAAGAAGCGATCTGAGAATATTGCGAGGGATTCATCCTGCGACGCCATGCCCACGAATTCAAACTCTGTGGCAGCATCCTGCCACGCAACAAAAAACACACAGGCAGCCCTCGTGCTAAGCCAATAGCCCGTGGCCTTGGCATCTTCGCCCTCGGCCGGAGCTTCAGCTGAAAACTGGTACTTGCCAACCTGGCCACAGATGAGGTGCAGCTAGATTGGACTGAATAACTGCCGTTCCGCACCATCTACGCTTTTGGCCGGGGAAATCTTGAAAAAGCTCCTCCAATGAAGTGGATTAGATACGTGCCGCTGCATGCGCTTTTCTCCCGATCCGCAACTTCCTCTGGCAAAGCGTTCAACACTGCTCTCTTTTGTCAAAAGGTTCTTCGTGCGTCCGGTTTTTGCTTGCAGTTCTGCTCTGCTGCCCCACTACTTCCTCATCTCCTTCCTTGCCTCGTTTCCGTTGCCCTGTTACAGTCTGCATGAAAGGCTGGCTTGACTCCGCTGCCGCTGCTGATTTCTTTGCTGCCATGGGCACAGGCTTGCTGAAATTCAATCTGTTCTTACATTTTCCAGCCAGTACTCCGATCATTTTCTTTGAAGGCTTGCCTGGGTTCGAGCCCGCTCAGGATTTGGCGTTCAATGCAAGCCAAGCTGCCTCACAGTAAGGGCATCGAACATTGCAAGGGCGTATGCATCTAAACTCTAGCCAGCAGGGCTTTGCGGTCAATGCAGCGGATGTATCCCATGACCTTAGGCGTACGAGTGTTAATATAAAAAAAAAGTAACCAAGAACGTTGGAGTGTAGGTGCTCAGCATGGATACGCCCATTCTTGCATGTAGCACCAGCAGGTAGGCATTGCCCACCTGCTGCAAACCAGGTTGACTGTCGAGGTTTACTCCCAGCTGGCAAGATCCACATACTTAGCAGCAGACGCAAGAAGCTCATGAAAGCATCCAGGCTTGACCATTAACTCTCATATCCAAGGCTTTTTATCACTGCGCTGCTGCTGGCCCATCTCGTCAACAAAATCTGGATGAAGGCATCCAAATGAGATCCGTGGCCATCGACATGTTCCCTACAACTCTCTGCAGCCTTGCGCACAAACAATCAACCAACTTGAGAGCCACGGGCTGGGACGAAAGCTCAATAATGGACCGGAGTGGCGAAACGAAGAGACAGACCATATACAACCAGAAGAGCACGCAGCCCAGCCCTTACTGCCCATTAAAGGAACTGCAACCCTCCTACGTAGACCGCTCCTTTGAAAAAAATCTCCAGGATCCCCCCAACAAGATCCCCCAAGATCCTTCCAAGACCCCCCAAGATGCCCCCAGATCCCCCTCAAAATATGCACCCAACCCCCCAATTCCCCCAAGATCATTTTTTTCCAAAGACAACTGAAAGAACATCCTCCCAAGATCAGCAGCAGTCAATGGCCTTTTTCCAGAAGCTGCCCAAAGCAGCCTTGCACACGAGCCATGTACCTCGCAAGGACAGCCGTACATGACAGTCCTGCAAGCTGGCCGAGCCTTTTTCTGCAGCGTAAGACGCATCCGTCACTAGACGTGCCACATACGCCTTGGCTGCTTCCTGCCTCGATATCAAGCAACCAGAAGGCAACCGCTTACTCGCAGGTTGCAGAATTCCAGTTTTCATCTTGGAGATCTCCTTACTCCAGTTTTCCACCTCTTGTCCAGCTTCCCATTCCACTCTCTCTCACTGCTGGCGTTGACGTCCAGTAAGTTGTTCGTCCTTTCCTGTGCAGCTCGCATAGACCGCAGCTGCCCTTGACTTCCCATGAGGCATGAAATAAGGAACAAACGCCCCTTCAATGCTGAACCAAACGGCTCTGGTGCTAGCCAGCGGAACGTTACCATCTGCCTGTGTAGCATTGACAGGATGGATCTGGGTCTCACGTCTTCCGTATCTGATTTGCAGCAAACCACGCTCCCACCTTAGCTGTCAGACGAGTGCCTGGACTCGACCAAGTGTGGCGGTTGCTTGTTCACGACATGGCAGCAACAGCTGCACTTCCTTTCGCAAAAAGGGGCGGGTTCTAAGGGCTGCACTCTTCTAGCTGCTTCTTTGGTCCTGGCCTCAGGTTTGAATGCTTGAGACCTACAGAACATGAGGAGGCCTTGACAGTGGATTGCGAGTTGCCGCTCAGATGACTACGCCCCTTGAACAGACATTGCGGAGTCAAAGGCCTTAGCCTCTTAGCCTCGAGCTAGCAAGACAAGGCCACTGGTTAGTCGATCGAGTCCTCAGCTTCCGGTCGCAGAGACTCAATCTTCCAGGGAGAACCACGTCAAGTGTATCACGGTGCGTCGTGTGCAACGGAGCATGTGCCTCCAGGCAGAAGTTTGCACATCTCTAGTGATGTCTAGTTGGTGCGCCTCCACCGTGCCCTGATTACGCAAGATGGCAATGAGGGAGTTGAAGCCTTACATCGAAGGGGATAAAGATTCCTCTTCTCAGCTTCAGTGCCACTGAGCTCAGCACGGTAGCTGCCGCACGGGTGGATGGGTAAAGAGCTGGGCTTGCTGACAACCAAGAGCTCCTCGGGGCTTTACTTACCAGGCTTTGGATTATCCCCGTTCGTGAGAAGAGCCTTGGTGTCTGCGACCACCTGCAATGCAAGCTCACATCGAATGTTGTGGGGAGGTGAAGACAAGCAACGCTTCACTCCTCAGAAGCACTTCATGCAAGCACTCAAACCGTGAGTCCAAACGAAGGGCGACCTTGATCGGACCGCGGTCAAGGACGGGGTTCTCGCGACAGCGCACTGCTCGGTGAACCTCAGCTGCTCACCATACTGCACTCCTCCACTCCAACACCAGCGGTTCAGGCAGCGCATTTCCTGCTGCAGTGCAGCTTTGAAAGTTTTTTGGCGAAGGCCGTGACTCAAGTCAATGCTGGCTATGCTTGGGTCAATCCACTTGATTGCCAGGCTTCCTTTTGATGCCGCTTCTCTTGCACGGGCGCCCACTTAGGAAATCTCCTGTGTCATGTGGACTAAACTAAAAAGTGATGAATGGTTACTGTCACTTGCTTTCTTCAAGCTATCGTCACTGGCTCCGGCTAAGGGTTTCACGATACGCTGCCCATCGCGCAAGACGTGTCCCGACTTGACCGCCTTCCCATCAACCGTGACTCGTCCAGCTTCTATGGAAGCCTGGCTGCAGAACTGCTGGGTGCGATAGAAAGAACATGACACTGTAGAATATTGGGCCATCCTCGTAGTAGTCCCGCGGGAAGGCCACGAACTCGCAAGCGCACACCTCACTCCCCCAAAAGACCTTCAACCGGGCTCAGCAGCAAACGGCCTCCAACAGCGTCCTTCCAATCCATCGCTGCCTGCTGCCCGCTGAACCAGCTCGAAACCCAGATTCGAACACGCTTATCTGGGCTTGTGGCTTGACATGAGTTGTGAAGTCGAAATCATACGGCTCCACATGGCGCAGTCCTCCTTGCACCCTGTAGGTGACCTCGCCATGAGCCCATCAAGCTGCATGACAGTGCAGCATGGCTGCTGAACGGCTCTACTCAGGAAGACCTATCTATTGCAACATAGCCGCTGCCACCCGCAGGCTGCTGCAAACATCACTGCGACAGCACATGTAAACCGTCATGGTAGGTGCTGAGCGTTCACACAGTCAGACAGCTTGCGCTGGGGAGTGCACGTGTTCTGGGCCTGTAGCAGCTGCTCCAGAGACTCTGCCTATCATGAGTTTTGCGCAATATTCCATGTAGCCCTTTGTCTCCCATGCTCGATGTACATTGCAGACGCCTCGTTTTGTTGGAGGAGTTGTTTCAACTCGTTCTACCGCCTGCGCGGCGGATTCAGAGCAAGGAGCAGAGACTCATGCCAGGCTCCGCTCATGGGCAACCTCAGCAGCTTTCTCTTGGCCTCGGTTGCACACGTGCATTGCTTGCCGCCCTCAATTTCCGGCAGTGCGCGGGCGGGACCGTTCGCAGTAATTTGTGGTCCGTCCTGATGATTAAAGCGTAAGGCGCTTCCTGCCACAGACAGTCCCGGCCTGAGCCTCGGTCTCATTCTGCTCGCTGGCTTCACGCTTGGGCATTAGCGGCTGGCAATCATTGTGATCATGTTCGGATTTGTGCCATGCTGCCATGCTGGAACATGCTATCGTTTGTTGCAGTACAGCGTGCGACCGTTGTGCCTACAGACTTTCTGCTGGCGTAGTTTCTATGCGGGGTGAGATGCACCCCAAGGTTGGCTTTCTGAGCTACACCACAGGAGGGGTTTGCACTGCGAGTTCATACTTCCAAGGTTCATTCATGTAAAGCACGAGCTGGTAAGACTAGGTGCTGAGAACTCCCCGGCCGGCATCATCTTGTAGACAAGTTCGAGCCAAAAGCTGATAATGTGGATGTAAGTAATACAGCACTGGAGGCCTACACTTCAGAATCCGTCTGGCCTTTGACACAAGGCCAGCAAGTGTCTTGCGGCAGTCTGCGGATCAAATTTCACCCAATCAAAAGTGGAAAAGCCTTGACAAAAGAAGAAGACTGCGTCCTTTAATTGAGTCCCTCCGTGACCCCATATAGAAAAGTCATGGCTGTTACTAGATGGATTTGGTTCGTGGTCAAATTTTCACCCGCTGCACATGGGATGTCAGAGCATGCAGGCATTTTTTGCACGGTCAGCGGCAGCGCAGCAATCAGTTTGTGTGCAAGTGCAATATACATCTGCAGTGCTTGGCCTCTTCCATGCAATTTTACGCAGCCGCGGCAGAAGGCGGCTCCTTCCATTGTCGATCTCCAGCTGTGTGGTGCTCTCTTTTTGGGGTGGCTGCCCTTTTTCTGTCGGTTGTAGGAGGGGGGTTGGGCGCCCTCCGCACAAGACGTGGGTCTAGTGGTGTTCGATATTTTTCTAACAGAATACAATACGGATTGTTGATGTACCCCTTGCACAAGATAGAGTTTTCTGCCGCCGCTGTCGGTGGTGGGGGGTTGTTGTTCTGACCTTGCAGATCAAAGTTTCTGCGCCTTCCCGGCTGGCCTGCCCTTTTTTTTCTGTTTTTAGCTATGCGTCAAGTCAATGAATCCAACTTGCGCAGCTTGCTGACACAAGTCTGACTGGCCAGGCGGCGGCGCCCAGTGTGTGTGTCAACAATCATTTCCAAGCAATTCCAGGACCCTGTAACATCCTGTAACCATAGGCTTGAATTAAACACTGGCTTGAACCAGACCGTACCGGACAAAACCCAGGCCCCGCACAATAAACTTCATAACAAAGCTCAGGAAGAGTGAGTGCGGGAAAATACAAAGGATGCACTGCTGAACCCAGTTTTGGATCTGCTACGACGGCCAATTCTGATGGCACTCAATTAGCTGTTGGTGTGGTCACCGGCTCCACGAAGTTGGGCATTCAGATTTTTACGGTCCATCTCTTATTGGCTGGCCGCAGGTCGCAAAGGCGGGTCGCAAAGGCGCGACACGTGCTGACATGAGATGAGGATGTAGGCTGTGGACCCTGGCTCAATGGTCAAGGTTCAGGGTGGAGGGTAATGGCTGGAAAACTCCAGCGATGAGAGCGGGCCTTTTGGCATAGGAACATGTCAACGTTGTGCCACTTACAGTGCTCTTTTGATGCGAGATCCATCTGAACAGCTCAGCTGCCTATGTGCGTCATTGCCATTGTTTTTCCTTAAACGCGGTGCTTCGAACGTCAGCTCAGCAACGTGTCCAGGCATACCAACTGCCCTGATCATCATGGTGAGGTCACACCAGCATTTGCCATATACCTTACAAGATCTGGCAAGCATATTGAGCCCTCTCCCCTCTCGCAACAGCAGAATGCATACAAACAACCTAGGTCACAGGCAATCCGGGATTGAATCGGGTAAAGAGCGGCAGATGCTGCCTGCGGGAACAGGAAGCCAGGAGCTGCAGTCTGCCAAAGTCTTCAACTAGCCTCAGACAAGCTGAAGGGGGCTCAGCGTCGGCCGCCTGCTGCAGCCCGCCTGATTCGAACATGGAACTTGAACAGCCTCGCTCGCAGCTTCACAAGGACGAGTACCAGTCTGCACACTGCACCTAGGTGCTCCCTCAACACAAACTGGTGGATGACCGGATCAAGTTCTGCCAAATCAGACAGTTAATCAATTCTGAAGAACACCTTGGGGGCTGCGTTTGGAAGAAGCTTCTGGCTTGCATTAAGAGGGGCTTAGTTGGTGGCCCTTCAGCTTGGCACCTCGGAGGGGTGGGCGTTCGGCGTCGACGTCTGTCCTCAACCGGTGCTCGTCGAGGCCTTTCTTCAGCGAAGAATAAGGTGTGAAAGATGGACAACCAAATCAGATTGCAGGTGGCTTTGGAGTCGAAGGCTTGATCTGAACAAAGACTTGAATCAGAGGACTGGAATCAGCGTAGTCTTCGACTGTGGCGCGAGTTGCCCAAGCAAGAAATTGCGCCGAGCGACGGGTCCCGCGCAGCTCCGCGGTTTCCGTTGCCCTCTGTCCTACATGGACCAGATGTCACAAGCTGCCACACATCCTCAGAAGCTTTCTTTTTTTTGTTGGCGCACCTCGCGCGGGGTGGAGGGTCTGAACGGCCTGGGCCCAACTCAGTCAGCGTGACCGATGCAAGGCTTCACACAGCTCAGCTGCGCACGAGAGGTATTTGCTGCCTGCCAGAGTGCAGCTCATGTCTGCTTTATGAATATCTCTCTGAACGAATTCGATTGAATCATGACGCGCAGACCCCACTTCGTGGAGGACCATCTCTGTATCCTCAGCATTTCTTTCATGCACAAAGTATGATGGCCCATTACTGTGGGCCAAAAGGGCTTTGTAAACGCATGCTTGGGGCATCGGCCCCCGCCAGTTGGCCTACATAGCTGCAAGCTTCAAGACCCAAATCTGATGCTCCGAAATGTCTCATTCTGTAACTGCGGCACAAGGACAGGCCTTGGACTTCTACTTCTGCGGCTACCACCTGCAAGGCTGAGGCAAAATCTTCCTGCGCGCCTTGAATGGCCTGGTGTCATACTGCAGCAACATAAAGCGCGGCCACACAGCCTGAAGCTGGTGGAGGTGCTCGAGTATCAGCTGCCGAGGCACGTCTCCTGTCAAAACTCCTTCCCAGTTGATTCCTGCACTCGCGAATACCGTCAGTTGTCAGCATTCCTGGGCGGATCTTCACCCTCGAGGTACACATCGATGGTCCTGTCCTTGTTCAACACATAATGAGAAGTTGCCGCTTGCTCAAAATCGTCCTCGGTGTCTAAGAATCAGACATTCAACTGGCCACCGTGGAAGCGGCGGACCGCATCTTGTGCATGTCGCGGCCTGTCTTATGTAAGAGTCGTACACACCCTCTACCCTCTGCAAGCGCAAGGTGTTTTTAGGGTCCAGGCTCCCTAAAGGTGACAGTGGCTACATCACCACCTACTGTTGCACCTGAGCCAAGCTAGGATGCAGTGGAGCAAGAGCCGATTCTAAGCTGGGCAGCGGGCTCAAAACCCGACCGACGTCTTTAAACGCGGCTTCAAGGTCTCGGCCTAAGCTCCATCCATTGGAGCCACACCACAAGCCCCACAAAAGGTCTCGCTTGTTTGAGGCGGGGCGGCTTGTGCACCCTCCCTCTTCCCAAGCTTCCGACGATTGATGCGGAGCCCTTGCAGGTTCGATACTACCTCAGAGCTCGCTCTTACAAAAATTAAGTGTGGTTCCCGCTGTGCAGGAAGCTCCCTCCGGTTCCAATCACTCTGTGCACATAGCATACAGTCTGAGACAGTGACGATTGTGCAGCCCCTTGCAAAGCAATTCATGCAGCAGGCTGCTCATCGTAAGTCAGATTGAAGCTGTTACGCTGCAACGCAGGCTATGCCCGCGTTAGATCCCCACACGTGCAGCTTCCCTGCCTCTGTCGGCCTCGCAGGCAAGAAGGCGAGATCATTAAGAATGTCTCAGGAGCTCACTTACGCCTTCTAGTTTAACACATCTCCCTGCCACGTGAATTTGGCTGCACTCTGTCGCTCCTATCTGACACTGAAAATCGTATTCAGTCAGGCCTCTATCCTCATCAGCTGGTGGGTCATCGTTCCTACGTCCGAGGCAACTAGCAAATGTCTTCGACTTGGCAAGTTCGGAGCTTGAAACATCGCCGGAGTTCCTTCTGCGATCTCGATCGCGCGGCCTCATGCCCGTCCACTGGCAGAGCTTCAGTGAACTTCAGCGTGCTTGCTGTGACTTCGGGAAGGCTGCGACTCAGGGTCTCCTCGACGGTCGCCCTACGCAGCCGCTCTTTGACCCCCGAGCTCTCTTGAGGACACCGCAGCTTGGTTCCCGACACGCCCGTAGTCTTGATAATCCTGGCATGCAACCAATCGCATAATATGGAGAAGCCGCTACGAATACCCTCTCAATGCTAGATCACATCGCGTGTCACCTTGCTCCCGTACCCGCCACTTCGGCCATATCTATCATCATCGCCCCTGCAGGCCGTGCATCGTATGTAAGCGGCATCAGACAATCGAGGGTCAACACTTCTTGCCATGCCTGCTACCACCATAGGAGAATTTCGCTCCCTGATCCTTGCTGGGTCAACACTCAGGAATGCAAGCTTTGGGTCGTTGCGGCAGAATCATTGTAGTCCAAGGCTCGTAACTCTTTCCGTATTTGTCATCGTATTTATCATACTTCCCACCTCAAATTGCAATGCTCCGACTTGTGCAATAGCAGTATTGCCGCCTGCCCTTTGGCGGCGACGCTAAGAATCCAGCCCCCGTAGCCGCCACTCCTGGGCTTGACACACCCATCGCGAAAAGGATTGCGCACGTGATTACAGATGTCTGAGGCGTGCACTTATCGTAGGACTTGTCATAGGACTTGTCATATGACTTGTCGTAGGACTTGTCATATGTGTCATAGGACTTGTCATAGGACTTGTCATAGGACTTGTCATAGGACTTGTCGTAGGACTTGTCGTAGGACTTATCATACGACGAGGTCTTGTCCCACGATTTGCTGCCAGACCAGTCCCACGACTTTCCACCTGCATCGCAACTACTCCCAACATTGAAGCAAGGTCTCGGCTACATCTCAGCTGCGAATTTCTGGCGATTATCTCTAGTCCGCCGTCTCTACGCGCAGCACAGCCTCCGCTGCCATAAGAGTCGCTTCCCTGCCCAGGGCAACAGATCTGAGACAGCTCGAATTGAATTGAACAGCAGGCCTTGCTCTTCCAATCGCTTCCCCCCCAGTCGTTTCCATCCTTCTTCCAGTCCTCATAGTATTGCAAGTTCTCAGCTATGAACTCCCTGGGCTGGCAGCATTCACAACCAGGTGGTGTGCGGCAGTTTTGGATCCAGAACCCCACTTGTCGGTGTCCTGCAGACATCTATCCTAACCCAGTCTTTCTATGTCTGCTGCTCTCACACAGAAATTTCCACGACTCGAGTCTCCTTCCAGTCGTCCTTCTTCTTCCAGCTACTGTCCTCCAATTCTAGCTGGGTAAAGCTGGTCATTGCACAGGTAGTCACGGAATCGCTGCACCCCAATAACCAGAAATATTATACATGCGAGCCTTCCAGTCATCAGTTTTGGAGGTGCCGCTCTTCCAGTCCTGCACATCAGACCCCGGTTGCATCCAGAGTAAGCTCAGGTACGCGCCGTGAGCGTCCTTGGAGTCACCCTTGTCCTGACACATCACAAACACCACGTAGGCAACTGACCCATGGAATGGCTCCGAATCCAACCCGATGCGATCTGAAGCCAAAAAAACCCTGGCCATCTCCTTCCAGTTGTCATCTTTGGACCAACTTTGCTTCCAGTTTCCACCTTGTCATGTTGGAAAGGGAACGAGAGATCAACAGAGTGACTGGGTCTTACTTGCCGCCTCCACCTCCTTGTCTTCCTCCGCTGCTCCATCGCCCTTTGCCTGGCGACACGTGCAAAAATATCTTAGTGGGTCAGTGACATGTCATATGTCTTAGAAAGGCCAGCTGGAAGCACCGCCGCCCTTCGACGCTCGGCGATCAGCACTTGGTCCGCAGGTTGCTTCAACAAATGTTCGATGCAAGTGCAATTTGTTCTCCGGAAAGATGTGAGGGCCAGGCTCAATCAAGTCGTCCAGTGACATACTAAGCTTGTCAACCTTCTCGACGTCGCCTAGCCATGCTGCTGCAAATTCATGTGTATGCATCACATGGGCTTTGAAAAGCTGCAGATGCCTTCCTCTTCCCCCTCCTTGGCTTCTTCCTTAGGCTCGTCTCCTTCTCCTTCAGCTCCTTCAGCGTCGGCTTCTCCGTCGCCTTCAGGCTTGAACATTGAATCCGATATCAGGAAAGGACACCTTCCTAAACACAATGCGCTGCTCCACGCTGTGAACGGTACTGACCTTGTGGCCTGCAGTTGTAGCTAGATTATGCTGATGCGTTGGTCGTGCAAAGATTACCTGAGATAGGACGCATCAGGCTGCTGAGTAGGCAAGAGTTCCTCATTGCGAGATGCTTAATTGCAAGTGTCCACGCATTGTGGAAGCAAACCTCAGGCAGTGATCAGGTCAAGCGGCATATCAGGTTCTAGCAGGGGTGTGGGGAAGCACATTCTCTCGCAACAGAGAAGTGCACAATATGCTTATGTTCTGGCCTTCATCTTTGACGGCATCATCCATTCCGTTCTCCTCCTTGGGCTCCATTGTTTGATCCTCTTCTTCCTTCGGCTCCTCTGCACTCGAGAATCCCAGGGACTGGCTCGACATCTTGTCAAAACGTGCGGTAACTTGCAACAGACGAGTACGAATGGCTTCTGCCTGCTCTGTATTCTCGGCAGGCGCAGTTCCGCCGGGGGCATCCTGCGGTGCTTTGAAGGCGTCAGGCGGAGGCTTTGCTAAGAGAACGGCTGTCCGCTCCTCATCTTCCTGCCCCTCCATTTCAGGGGCATCCTTGGCCTGGCCACTAAGAAGTTGCATGAGGCGCTTGGAGCATGAATGTTTCAGGTTCAGCTTCTGCGTGCAAGGAAGACTAGCCAAAGAACAAGACATAACCAGAAATTACTGCCGTCAGGTCAGGTCGAAGTAAAACACGAGCTAGCTTGACCTCAGCGTCTCCAGCAGGTTCCTCAGCTGGCGCCTCAGCTCAATCTAATGTTCTGCAGCGTGATGCAGCAATGCAGCGGATGCATGCCAGGACTCGTGCTGTTTCGGCCGCTGGCGCGTCTGTGCCGCCCTGCGGGGCACTGCTGTGATTTCCTTACATGCCTCACTTTGTAAACAGCACTTTGCCCGACCTCGGCTGTATCCATGGTGTCCTCATGAATGGGAAACTGAGTTGGGGGGCGGTGTCACAGATGCCAACTCTGTGTTGTGCCTCACCCATGGCAGCAGCCTGGGACGAGCAAGAGAGCCAAGGCATACAAAACGCACAGGAGGGACCAAGCCGCCCGCCGCCACCAAGCCCTGCTGCTTAAAGGTTTTCTACGCTGCTGTTGGGCCAGGGCGGATGATCAAAGTCAGAGTCAAACGCTGGGTAAAATCAGCCTGTTGCAAGCTGATGTAGGTGGTTTGGAATACCGACTAGCATGGCGGCATCTGACGGACAGCTTTGAAAGCTTCGACTCAGCTGCGATTGCTCTGGCGATGTAGCCAGACAACTTAGCAGTAGATGCTGCTAGCTCCGTGGTGGCGTTCCATCAGTCTGCGCGCCGCATGCCACATGGCCTCCCAACAAGACGTGATCAGATTTTCCAATAGTTGAAAACGGCGAAAACGAAAAGTGTGTGATGTCATCGTCATGATCATCACACCTTCTAATTACGAGTAGTAGTTTTATTACTACTATTATTATTCATCTTCATCTTCTTCATCATCGTGTGAGATCCTGCGAGCTGAGCATCACTAAAGCAATTGCATGATCACTTCTGTTCAGATCAACAANNCCCCCCCCCCCCCCCCCCAACACAAAGCTGCCATCCGGACGCCCTGGGCCTCAACTTCGTTGTAGGACTCATTCTTCTTGTCAACGTCATCCTCAGGTAACAGGCCAATCTAGCAATTATATGCGAAGTACTTCAGATTACTTCAGAACAGCCAAGCTTCCTTGGCCTTAGTGACGATGTGCTCTTCCCGGCGCTTGAGGCTAGCGAGGTATTCGCCACTTGGCACCCTCAGCTTGCTTAGATCTCCTGAACAATAGGGACTGACATCAACTTTTCGCAGCCTGTGTCATTAGTGCTAGATGAGCCCGATCCTCCAACTGCAGCCATGGCCTTAACCTGCCAAGAGCAGCTCAGAGTGATCATGTACCTGCCGGGCATCTCCACATGAGAGCTGAGATGATCAGGTACATCAAGGACTACACAACCCAGAATCCTAATAGCTCAGGTGCTGATTTTGCAGAGCGAGTAACATTCGAAAGAACGCCTCCTCGACTGAACCACCGGCAGTCAGCGGGCCATGGTTCTCGAGGAGCAGGACCTTCTTCTTTGGTCCCAGATTCTGTGCCATTCCTCAGCTGCGAGAGGCTTCGTCCGAAAGAGCAGGGGATGCATTAGACTTGCAAACAAAAAGCTGAAGATCTTCCGTGCAAGAAGCTCTGTCGCTCATCCAAATCAACAGCACTGCCTTCAAAGGGGTGATAGGAGAACTCACCCCACTGTGAGAGCGCTTCCTGGGTAAGGGGAAGGAAGCCGACCGTGGATGTCAACACTGCCACAGTGTCAGCATGATGGCAATGCCAAACGCAGGTTATGTCTGGGCGGGCAGCATGGACAGCGGAGTGCACCTGCCAAAATTGGATTGCGGACTTCCAGACTACGACGACATGCGAATATGAAATGGTAGAGATGCTGAGGCGCACACCACGAAACCCTGCTTGAAAAGAGGTCCCTGGTTGGTGCCCTTGTCTACCACATTGCCATCCAGATCAACCTTCAACAACGAGCTAGCCTCAGATGAGCGATCACTTTTGACTAGCATCCATTGCAAATGAAGGTGTTGGATGGGCCCTGAATTCCAAAATTGGGCTGTGCTCCGTGTGTTGAGGATTTCGGAGTTGGACTTGCAGTGCAAAAAGGGAGGTTTGGGATGTGTAAGGCATTCTGCATTCTAAAGGCATTACGTGATCCACCCCCAATTCTCACGTAGATATGGCTGTCTCAGGCAGGTGATTGCCTTGCAACTGCAAGGGTCATGCTTTTGAGCTTCCAAACCAAATCATTTGAGGACCCTTCAGCGAAACTCCCTGTGGAACAGCCTGTCTTTGTGTTAGTTACAGGGCTTTTCAGGTATGTCGGGATTATTAGAGGGGCTCATTTCCTCATCCCTTGCAAACGAGGGCCCATGGGGCACAAGCCTCCTAACGCTTCTAATGGATTAATGGTGCTGTTATCATGCTGGGGGGCGGTGACCTCATCAAATCTCAATCCGAAGGGATTGATGAGAAAGTGGGGTCCATCGGATAAGCGGTCGCTCTCTGGCACCTTCAAGGTAATGTGGTTGAAAACGAGCTCGTCCCATCCATAGTGTGCAGCCAGGCGGTACGCAACAGCCAGCTTGCAGCGGGCTTCCCACTCAGCAGGGCTGAACTGCGATTTCGGCCGCGAGATTGTGTCACGACGTGTCCGGTCGCGCCGCGCAAGTCCAACGGCTTCCGATGGCAAATCGACCGGAGCAGCTACAGGATCAGGGAAAACATGACGCGACAAGTGCTGGACGCGCCGCATGCTCAAATTTAGTTACAAACCGGCTCGAGCCTTCCAAAGTCTCAGCATGACTTAAGCATCATTTGTTCTAGCAGCTGAAGCGCTACCCTCTCCAAGGCTGCAAGCCAGTCTGGGATTGAAATGCGAACGCAAGAAAAAAAACTGCAGTTACTTTAGGAAGCAAGTGTTTTCCCAGTTTAGTACTTGCTGCGAAAAGTCATATGAGCACGCACATCTCAACCCTCGGGGTGAGTGTGCTGATAAGTGATTCACTGAAAACTGGCGTCGGTGGGCTGTTGCCAAGGGAAAACTGACGGAAAACCAAAATTCAGACAGACTATGCATATGGAACTTGCTCAGATGTTCCTCGTGTCCAAGCCCAGCTTTACACGAGCATCCACCTGCGTGCATGGGCGCATGCACTGCACGCATTCACCAAACAGCCAAGCTAGGAGTGCTAATGACATCAGTAGGAAGAGATCTAGCAAGAGCAGGAGTAGTAGTAGCAGCAGCAGCAAAATCGCATTCTTATTCATGGTCATCAACTCTCCTCATTCGGATCTTCGCCATTGTCGCCGCATTGTCATCAAAACCGTGGTCGCCACCATACTGTGGGCTGTAGAACTCCATTTGGCAGGCAAGGTGGGAAGAATAAGCAAATAAAGAGTCATTGCCGTAGAAGAGCGAAAAAAAATCCAAAGACAACTGAAAGAACAGCACAACTCACCATCTGCGTCTGCCCTCGTGAAACAAGAATGAGCCAAATCGTTAGCAGAGCCTCCGCTGTTAGCGATTTCCAGTCCGGAACCTTGCAGAGAAGAACGTGAGCATTTGCGGAATGGCCTAAACGTGCTGACGCGCAACTCGCAACTCTGCTGCTACTACTGCCTACTGCCGCTGCTACTGTTACTGCAACTATTGCTCCAACTATACCCCTGCTACCACAACTGCTACCATTACGACCACTCCCACTCCCGCCGCCACTCCTTCTCATAACCCTGCTCCTGCCCCTACTCCCTACTTTCCTCCTCTTCTTCGTCAACAACTCCCTCCTCATGTGCAGACAGCGTAGATTGCTACTAGTACAACTCGAAAGTACTCATTGCAGCATGCTTTCAACGACAATGAGAGCTGCTGCCTCTGCCATGACTGGCAGAAAGAGTAATCGTCTCATTATCGTTCTTCTCATTGCTCTTTCGTCAGAAGCCCGACCGTTGCTAAACATATATATATATATATTTATTTATTTATACATATGCATAAGTATATGTGGGAATGCGCCGAGGCCAAGGCTCCAAGGCATCGAGTCCCAACCCTGCCATTCTTCTTAATGATGATTGTTTGGCCAACGGCCTGCAATGGAGGACATGGGAGGGAGCGCTGCAGATTCGGGATGGTAGGAAGTTTTCGAATGTGACATTGTCAATCTTCGGCAGAGGCCTCGTCCAAACCCTGGCTTCGTACCTTGGCACCGGCAACAACCGCAGAAAATGTCGCATTCGCATAGGCAATGCCTGGCGCTCAGGCCTGCACCTGGGCCAACTGAATCTCACAGAGCTGCGCCCAGTCTCCCTTTGGATCCTGGCAAGAACGCAGCCGCAGTGAGCCAAGCTGAGACAACCTGTGCTCTTTAAGCCTTAGGAGGTTTCGCGCTGACAGAAGTGGCGAAAAATCAACTGGGGCTACTGTAAGCAAGATTCCCGTGCGCATGCCCAAAACACCAGAGCCAGTCGAAACACCACCACCAAGCCCCACGTACATGCTACGTCGACACCAATGGTCCTGAGCTTCTAACACATGTGAGAATCCCACGGTTTGCTGTTCCGGTTGTGCGTTTGCATTAGGAGTTTCCTAGCTGTCATATAGGATACACTACCCGTACAGAGCTTGAGCTCCGACTTAGGAGCCAATTTCTGCTTCATCAAAGAGTCCGGTGCCATCTTACACTTTCAGGATGTTTCAGGCAACAATGGCTCTGGAGGACACCGTGTGTTGTGTACAACAACTCCACAAGTAATCCCGAATGGGTCCTTGCCAGGCAGTGCAGCAAACTGCAGATCTTGAACAGCTGCAGCGAGCGCCGACCTCAGGGCAGCCGCAAGCAGTATGTGTCCATTGCCAGGCAAACCCATTTCAGGTCTCACACGTGTCCTCCGCGGAAGGGCTGCAAAGCACCGGTACCAGGAGGAAGTCGCAGCGTGTCATGGCCTGCGGCTATGTGCAAAACTGAAAGTGCATGTCAACAAAGTCTGCTGGACCGAGGCGGGCCTCTGACAACTCTTTCGATGCTTTGATGCACTCTTGACCTACCGTATTCAAGCTGCATCCACCAAAAGTCTCTGGCATTCACTTGAGTTCTAGGCCCCTTCCAAGTATTAGTGCAAGAGCCAAAAAGCTGACAGACTGACTAGGGCTGCAACAGAACTTGAGATCACCCAGGCAGAGGACCTCGACTTCCCCTCTCCCCAGCGCAACGTCGCATCTCTGCTCATACATGGCGAGATACAGCAGCAACAGCTTCAGCAGGTGGCTCTGCAATCCAACACGCATAGCCGCATTGCCCTGGAACCCGGGAACGCGACAGGCCGGCGCGATTTCATCTGTCGCCCAACTCGGAGATCGCTGAGCTGGGCGTCCACAACCTGTCAGCCGTCAATTGGATTACTCCGTTTGATGCCTGCTCTAACATGAAGATCGCCATGTGTCCACAACACCCTACCTGTCCATCCATCTGGACTTGCACAGGAAGTCGCGCTATCAAGGCGCCTTCCTTCGGACGGATGCTGGCCAATGACCCGGCATGCATCAATCTGCGGTGCTTGCAGTCCTCCTTTGCCTGCGACCGAACAGAATCTTGATTCCACTCCTCCACCATGACGCAGTTGCGCACTTCGTGTGTGTTGATTCAACAACTGCCTGATACGTCAAGAAGCCGCAGACTACCATAGCTCCAAAGTTGACCGCAAGGTCTTGAAGCACGTTCCTTCGGGAGATGTTTTTGTCATCCCACAGAGGCAGTTGAGATACAGGAGCTTGGTTGCAGGCGGCAGCGGGCTTGCGCGGGGGGCCCCGAACAGGGACTCAGCAAGAAAGCAGATGCTAGACAGATGCAGCTTAACACTCCTCACAAGGTTTGTAGCAGCACTCGTGACGAAGATGAGCTTCCTGCTGCCAAAAGCCTGGAATTGGCAGAAAACAACAGCACTCTCTTGCGTATTGAGTGACTTTTTCAAATCATCTGCCTATCTCGACATGCCGAATCTGTTTGGAAAGCATTGCACACAAAGCGATCAAACTTCAGTGATGACAGCCAATGACAGCACATGCGATCACGAGACTAGTTCCAATGGCGTGCCTGGGCAAGATGAACAACAAACCAACGCCGGCACCACCCTCAGAAGCGCAGGAAGATCCAATGGCACAAAACAGCAAGGCGTCTCATGTCGTTTTCCGGCGCTGCACGTTGACCGGGCACAACCAGAACCATTTTTTCCCTGGTCTCAGATCTCGCTTTCCCTCATGGCATCAGCGAGAACATGGCAAGTCAGCCTCAGACCAGCACGGTCGCAGCTGAACAACCAGGAACTCCTAGAGAGTCACTCAGCCAAGGCACACGAAATAAGGAATGGTGCCTTCTGTTCCCGGCTGTGGGAATGGCGGTTGCTTGGGGTCGCTCTCCATAAACAGTGGGCCGTACATCTCCTGAGGCAGGCTACTGCGGAAGCACAAACGATTTGGTCCTGACCCTCGAGCCTTCTCCTTGCAAGACCAACCAGGTCCAAGATCATGTGCCTGAGATCTTGTTCATGGCCCGACCCTTTCAAGTGGCTCCGGGTCTCCACCAGACACGATTGGCAGCTGATTTACCTCCAAATGCGGCTCGCGGAGGTCAGCTGCGTCCTCTGCCTGTGCAACAAGTGATCAGTTCGCTAGCTTCACTAGCTTGCGAACCCGCTTGGGAGGAAAGCCTCAAGGCCATCGGAGACAGAATCCTGCACATGGGCACGAGCAGCCCAAAAAAAAAGACCAAGTGTGACGCTGCAAGAACCCAAGCCAAGATAGGCAAGAGATGCGAGGAACCTGACCAGCCCACAGCCGACGTTGGGAAACCACCAGCCTGGAGACATCCCAAACGTCTACTTGCATATTTTCCAAGAAGGGCTCGCAGGACCATCGTAGTTTCAAGGTCCGGGCAATTGGCCACCTGAACGAAGCACCCGCCGCACCTCCTCAAGCAAGGCCACCAAGGCAGATCACGCTGTGTGTTGCCCCAGGCTGCTTTGCAGTCATGCCGTATCCTGGAAATACTCTTGCCGCGCTGTGACCGTTCCCAGACAGTCAGACAAACCTTTAGCTGCGGAAATGCAAGTCATATGCAAGTGCTTTCTCTTGTAAGTGGCACCTTTGTCAACGGCAGCTGCGAAGTGGCCGTCATCGAAGTCCGACATGTTCCTGGTGTGCGGCTGGCATCTGCGAATCATGTTCAAGCATCACTTAAAGCCGAACCGCACAGCAGGACATGAAATGCTGAGTTGCCGCCTGGCATCCATTGTCAGAAATGTTAAGCCTGGGAACCGTTGGCGCATCCGTTCCTGAAATTCACCCGAAGCAGGCACAAGATGGGGGAAATGCAAGAAGCTGACACTCCAACGGTCACCTGTTGCAACATGTGTCGGTCACCTCTGCAGAAAAATCGATGCTAGTGACCTGCGCGAAAAGAGGGATCGGCCACAACAGAGCTGCACCACTTGTACACAGGACCTGCCAGCTCTTCTTCTGGAGGGCCTCTCACATCCAAAAAAATGGATTGTGCAAAGCTCTTGGAATCTGTCCTCGTCCGAAGCCAGTTCTGCACTCAGCGCAGAGTCCCCGCTTCCCAGCACCAGCAGCCTCTGCGAGGACCGTCTGAGAGACTACCTGACTTGCCAAGGCACAGAAGTTCGCCTTGACTCTGAAGGCGCCGAAGGAGTTGCCGCAAGAAGCTCCAAAACAGAGCTTCGCAGTTGCTGGTAGCCTCCCCAAACTCCCTCACCAACTCTTACCGTCACTCCCACGAGACTTCCTTCACCCCAACGTGCAATGAGCTGCTGGCCGAGTCCGTACCATTCGAACAGCGAACGGCCATGCTGGCCCTGCACGTTGTAAACTCGATTCCAGTACTCTGGCTTGTCTGCCTTGTCAGGGCATGGAACGCTGTGATGGATCTCCATGCACAAATCGAGCTTAGAGCAACATGCCAGGCGGCTGCTGGATATTCCTCCCAGCCACAGACACCGCCCAGAAGCACCAAGTGCAAGTAGCGCCATTGCATCACGCGAACAACATACAGGCTTCCCGATGCTTGCCCAAAACCGTGCGACTTAGCAAGACGACTTTAATCATCACTCCGACCAACAATGGCTTGAACAAAAAATGCCCGGCGCCACTCAAGTCAGATTTCTGAAAAGCCATGTGAGCGCAGTATGCTGTAGAGAGTGTCTCAGCGTCTGGCGGTCAAGAATCCGAACAAGGCAACTTTGACCTGCCATGCGCATGGTGTGTACTTGTGCCGGGGTCAACACAAATCACTCGGTGAGAATACACATCATCTACTGCGGACGCTGGCATTGGGAAGATTGCGCATCAGCGGGATATTTACACATCAACAAATGGTAATCCCCATGTAGACGCTGATTCCAGGGCAAACCAAGGTAAGGGCAGATTTGCCGTTTTGCTATGAACGCTGGGGTTTGAGAAGAAAATCACAAGATTTAAAGCTCATTTTTTCGTAAGATTCCCCATGTAGACNNTTTACACATGCCCCAACATGGGATGCCGAGATACTGCCATTTCCCGATTCATGCGTTGTGGACCAAACAAGCCGCCTGAGACGGCTTTCTATACTAAACGATTGAACCATGGCGCGTAAACAATCAACGTAAGAAAAGGTGGCCTTCCTTGAGTTGCAAAGAACTGCATGGACGCAGCAATGTGTCCTATCTTGTGTCATATCTGATATTTCCAGGAGTGAGACATAGCACGCAACATACATGACATCTCTTCTAGTGAATGCTTTTGAACTGGGTCCCCCAGTGTGGACAGCGACACCATATAAACATGTCGCATCATGAGCTGAAACCCTGCGGAAACTGTAAAAACAACACAATTGCAGGAACTGCTTTTGCATGACATCTATTCTAGCAGGTGCTTTTGAACTGGGTCCCCCAGTGTGGACGCTGCTCAACAGATACAACGACGCCATACAAACATGCCGCATCATGAGCTGAAACCCTGTCGACGCTGTGGAAACAGCACAACTGCAAGAATCGCTTTTGCACGACATCTACTCAAGTGCATGCTGTTGAACTGGGCCCCGCAGCGTGGACGCTGCTCGATGTGTGAAAAACCCAGCTGATGTGAGATAACCCGACCACTGGTAGCACATGGTGTCGTGAGAACCAGGGGGAAGCTACACCCGAGCACCTTGGCAAAGGGATCCTCTGTCTCTGCCTGACTGAACTTCTTTCAAAAGCCTGTGATTTGTGACAGGTCGCAATGATGAGTGCCACGCACGCAACTTGTCATTGCTGAACTTCTGCTCAGCCGGAAGCGCTCTTGATGGCCTCAGACTTGAGACAATCACTCGCGGCTGCCTAGCAAGCCTATCATAGGAAGCGGGCACAATGCCATTTTCTCGACCTAAAAAGTGGCGATTCCCAATGCACAGACAGATCATGCCGCAAGGACATGGGCCTGCAGGTGTTCTGGGTGAATTGACGAAGGAAAAAGGAGACCTGACGGGTGGGCACATGTGGAAAGCAGTAAATTTCATGACGCGCTTAGTGCTGATAGGGGCATCGACAAGGTGGCCAACAAGAAAGAGATACATATACACCTGCCAGGCAAGTTGCTTCACGCAAATTCTAAAACCAATGAATGCCTCCACCCTCTTTGCAAGGAAGCCTTCCAGCAATTTTTGCCATGCTCATAGGAGCATGAGGACGCCGGCTAGGCCACATGATGCGGTGCGAAAGCATGCACAGGGGGAGGGGTCTACAGTTTGTTGGCTGGCTTCTGGTTGCAACTCCTCATTGTGAGTCAAGTGTTGTCGAAGCTGGACACAGGCTTTGAAACGCTGCTTCTTCAATGGGTAGTAAGACGGCATTGCTTTATCAATCCATTAAGCCTTACCACTACACTGGCGCGCATCACAAACAGAGGCAAGCGCTTCGTGCACGCCACCTTCTCGGCACCGAGCACAAGTCAATGTGGCACCAGCATAATGCTTTACTCACGTGTACAGACCCAAGTTGATACAAAATGACAAGCATGTTCTTCAACTGTGTCTCGAAGGTTGGCAAGCTACATTGTATAGCCTCATCTTGAGGTGGAGTCGCCTATCAAACACCAAATGTGGGGCAACAACACACAAAGAACCAAATCGGCATGAATCACCACCACCCCAAAAATGAGGCTTGGTGCTGAAGGCAGGTTCCCGAACCTACACACTGCGAGAGTTAGGGTTTAGGGCTCTGGGGTTCAAGGTTTAGGGAGTCGAAATAAGGAGTCATTGTTGGCTTGCGTTTCGGGACCTGCGGAGGGGTCATGGTTTTCAAGGATGTTGGGTCTCGAAAAACTTCAATCCGTGGCTCTCCAGCGTGGTTCCAGCAACCCACAACCTGTGTAAGGACCGGTCAAGGAACCGAACAGAACGATCCCATACGCCCTGACTTGAAGGAATCCCAAGGTTCAATTCCTTGGTCTGGCTTGAACTGCCCACTCCATGAATCGAGAACTCCAGCTACGAGAAAATTGGGATCAAGTCCCGCGCGTTTCCCTGCGCTCCAATGATTGGGCATGCGATCTTCCATCTGCATAAGCCAGATGGATGGCAAGCTGCGGAAACAGCCGTGAGAACTGAGCAATCACGCAAACGCAGGAGATGCAGGGATAATGTGTAACGTAGAGGAAAAGCTCTCCTTTGATCCTCCAACCATTGTTTGGGCTGGTGCCGTCCAGCAAATCGGCCGTCACTTGCATCAGAGCGCAACGCTCTGCATGACCACTGCGGTCGTGCTCGCCCACCAAGTTGGGCGCCACACGGCTCCGTGTCATCAGTGGTTTCAGGAGTCGCGATGCCGAACTGCTCTCTTTTGAGGTCTCTGCTTCCAACTGCCAACTGAACGCACGACCAGGCTCAGTCTTACCTGCGGCATGAACTCGAACCCATGCAACAATCTCTCTTTTATTGACCTTGTCCAGCTGTCGCACAAGCTTCTGCTGGTTGAGGGGTGCAGCTTCTGCTTGTCCTGCCCGTATGGCTCGCTCCCTTTCAATGGCACAAGCTGCAGCCGCTTCCTTGATCCAGTCAGATCCAGAGCTTTCAGAGCCACCAAATATTTCAGTTGAGCTGACTGCATTGATGTCTGCCAAGAATTGCGCGGTAAACCCTACCCCTAGGTGATCCAAGTCTAGCTCGGAGATGCAATCTTCCATGCTTGACCAGTTGTCGTGGCCCTCTGAGATGGAAGGAACAGCACGCCGCAAGGGATGGAAAATATGGAAATCAAGGTAATCCATCAGCCTCTTCCACCGACCTCCAAGCCTGTCTGAAGCAGGCCTGGCGGCGTTGCCCAAAATCAGAAGCTCGCGAGCAGTGATGCTCTGCATGGAGGACTTTGAAGCTTCTAAGGCAAAGTCGTGACCTAAAAAGGCATCCACAGCCGCTTCAAGAAGCTCCACATGTAGGGCTCCTGCTGCTTGAGCTGCACTCAGAACCTGTGCAACATTGTGAGAGGCTGACTGAGGATCCTGTCTTACTCGCTTAGCCGTCTCGCTGCAGGCCACTTCCAGGAGCGCTTTGCTGTACGTGACGACATTCGCAAACGACCATAAAACGTTTCCAATGCCTTGCATGTCAAACTCACAAATGTGAGACTCCGAAAATCCAGCCACAGCTTCCATCCAAGGCCAATGGCACCGCCCTATGATGGTGCTGTACGCCCATGCAGCATTTGCCACCTCCCTAGGGGCACAGCTCTCAATTCCACGGTTTTCCAAGACTTCCCCCACCACATCGTCGAAGAAGTCATGGTTACAGACCCCAGCAGTTCCGTGTGCCCACATCATGATGGAAAGCTCATGCATTTTAAACTCTTCCAAGCCCACCGCTCTTGCATGGTTGCACACTTTGATGAACAACCACGGCAATCTCACACAGGCCGTGGCATAGGCCCAAAGCATGTTGTTAAGCTCTTGAGTCTTGCATTCTGCAAGACGTGCGACGAAAGGATCGGCAGCCCGCTCGAAAAATTGGTGATCGCGAACCTCCAACGATGCCAATGCCCAGACACTGATGGCCAAGTTCTGTGCGGAGAGCTCCGCGATCATCACCTTGCCCAAGGACGTCAGTCGAGAAATCATGCTCGAGTCTTTGTGTAAGACTGCTGCGTACGCCCACAAGCAATTTGATACGTCCAAGGGCTCAAATTCGGCATGGTCTCTGCTCAGGACCTCGCGTGCCACCACGTTGAACCAGTGTTCGTCCGTGTAACATGCTGTCGCATATGCCCATACTGCATTCGTCAAGCCCTGCACACTGAATTCTCTTGTGCGCTTGCAGACTGCCTCAGCCAACTCCCTGAAGGCTCCGTCGTGGCAAGTTGCTTGCTCTGCAAGTGCAAATGAGTAGAGCAAAGTTGCGATGTTTCTGGGGTCACTCATCTTCCAGTCGCTGCGCTTGGCGCAAACGGCGTCTGCAACTTGATCGTAAAAGTCTTGTCCTCCTTGAGAAACTTTGGCCATAGACCAAGCCACCAAGCTTAAATCGATGGGTGCCAGCTTGGCAATTGGGGCCTCCTTCGCCACTCTTGTAAAGACAGTGGTGCAGTCGGTGTAAACCACTGTTGCAAATCCCCAAACAAGGTTTGCCAGCTGCCTATCGCTGAACTCTAGAACGCGGTTGGCAGAGCCCACATCCAGGGCCGACCAGAATGGTTCGCTAGTGACCAGCAGAATTCCCGCGGCGTACGCAAGGGTTGCAGTACTTTGAGCGTCGAACCTGCCACTTCCGCGGCGAAGGAACTCCGATGTCATTGTCGCTGCCGCTGCAGCTTCATAAGCTTTGGACACACCACCAGAGGAGGCAATGCCCCACAAGAATAAGGACAGCTCTTGCGGCTTGAAGTCGTCTACTCTTTTCTGAGCCATCTCAATAAGTGCCTGCAAAAGCGAATTGGCGTTCCACTGGAGCTTGGCAACTGCCCAACACGCATTGGCCACACTCTGTGCTCTGAACCTGTCAGGCCGCTCACGAACTTGAGACTCCAGAGTCGACAGCAAACCCAAACAGCGTTGGTACTGCTTGTTACCTGCCGGGAAGGTGGCCAAGCGATGGAGTGCTGTGCATAAGGAAACAGGGCTGAACTGCGAGTGCCTGGTTTCAATCAACTGCACCAACTCCGGGAGCTGATTGGCTCCGAAGCCTGTAAGCCTTTCCTGGAAGGTCACGTCCAAGCTGTCCCCAGTTCCTCGCCGTTCTTGGCGCTCTTGGCGCTCTTGGCGCTCTTGGCGCTCTTGCCTCTTACTCGGAGGTCTTGGACGAGGCTGTGCTGAGAAGCCAGAACGATCTGCACCAAGCCAAAGACCTGGGGTGCAGTAGCTAGCTGCCGAACCTGCGGCGGCAGCTCTTGCAGCTGCTTGTGTAACCAAACCTGAGTGACCTCTGCGGGGCAGTTCTGGTTCAACTGGGCTGGAGATACCATCATTCGCCTGTGTGCTCTCTGAGGCTTCACGTATGTCATCTGCTCTTTTCCTCAAAGGAGGATAAAAAGTTTGCATGAACCTCTCCCCTCTCCTCCCTCTCCCCAAAGACACATCCACCGGAGCACGCACTCATTGCATGTCGAGCACCCATGATCTCAAGTTGTACCATACGATACAAGCCCATCTGCCCTTCTGCCAACGACTGGTTCTCCATGTTAGCAATGCATGATTGAAGGTATCTGGGAAGCTTCTGATCGTTGCAACACTCTAGCAAGCATGGTATGACCTTGTTGCAGTGTGCTGCTACAACCCTTTTGACAGCTGCGGAAAATGAAGGCATCTCTATGCGACCCCATCGTTCCGTGTCCAACCCAAACTCACCGCTGCAGCAGTAGTTTCTTCAAAAGACGATCATGGGCTTTCGAGAACTCGAAGGCCAACTGCCCCAGTTTGGGGCAGCTTGATGAGACATTATCACAGGCTTTGCCGGGCTCCAACTTTGAGGCAACTTCCCCAGGGGAGACTTTGCGCCCACTGGCAGAGCGCCTGAACGGAGCCCATACAGTTGGTGTCGTAAAACTCCCCTGCATCTTCCTGCACCTTCAATTTTGTACTATCTGGGGGTCAAAATCATGGTCATCATAATTACTTTGGAACGCCTATCTCATCCAGAATTCCTTGGAACACTCGTGACTGAGCTACCTTGAGTCTTACAACATTTGAAAACATGGGCGCTTCACTGAGCGTCCTCGAGGTCATCCTGCAATGAATGGCGATCTCTGTGCCTCTTGGCTTGTGGCCCTAAAAGCCTCATGCTTCTTCCTGTCCCGAACTAGGCTGACCGTGAACCCAGGGCTTGCTGCAAACAGACTGAAGATCTGAAACCAGAATTGGTACACAGCGGTCCGCGTGACTCCATTTCTTGACGATGTTTGCCATGTGCACCGCTCTCCACAATTTGGCTTGCCGTTCCAGTCTAGGAGGAATTTCCTTAGCCATACGCGTGGTCAAAATCGGTTTGCAGCTGCATTTCATTGGCAGAGCAGAGCTGCAATCCACAGCAAATCTTCTGATTCTACAAGTTGCGTCAGCGTTATCGTTAACTGCAGACGCGATTCTTGTCTGGCATTTGCCTCTATCTCCTCATGCTTGGTGTGGTGAATGGTGAGCTGCATGTCGCGCAGCTCCTGCTGGCAGAAGCTAAGCCCAGCCGTGTGGCGTAGGAAATCTTTGCTCGTGCTGCATGGTATTGCATAATTCATCTCACAGGAATCATGGCCTCCGAGGCGGCCACAACAGCCATCTCAGTGGAGCCAGCCCAAAGATCCCGGACGACCTCGCGAGCACATCATCGTCAGGAAGTACACTCACTTGAGAGGAGCAAATCTAAATTCTCAACTCTACACGTCAGAAGAGATCTTCTCTTCACATCTTACCTCAACCATCTCAATGATATCCGGCAAGCCGCATTCGAGACAATGATAACCAGGTATCACTTGTCATTCTACGCTACTCTCTCCAAATTCCTCCGGAAGTGGAGTGGAGCAGAAAATGTGGAACTGAGAAAGGTTTCCCAGTAGAGGAAAGAAGGCATCCTGGAGACCATCACCGGAAATGCTTATCACGCCAAGGAGTACAGGAGCATAACCATTTTTTGAAAAAGCATTAACAGCTTTGGATCTGTCGCCTTCGCCACTGAACTGCGCAGATCTTGTCGCGAGTCCTGCAAGCTGAAGAAAAGCCTGAACAGCTCCATGGGATCTTCCAATGCGCAGTGGCCTTGGCCAGCGCCTCAGCCTCGAAACGGTCGGCTGCAGCAGACCTCTCGGGCTTCCCCGGCATGTGCTCAAACCTTGCGGCCAGGTCATGCAAGCTTCGACGGCACAGCATAAAGACTTAGGTGCCGGCAGCTCATCAAGCCCCAAGCACCAAAGGCTATAGGCCATCAACTCCTGCACCGCACAAGAGAATGGGTTGGCCAGGGAAGCTCAACAACTCTGAGGCAGGAGCAGCATCCCTCTGTCTTTCAACTGACCACTGGGCGAGTCCGAAATCGGCTAGCTTGACCTGTCAGCTAGCTTCATCAGATCCTCACAAGTCCTTTACCAAAACTATCTGGCTCCGCAAGCTTAGCATATCTTAGCATCATTTAGCATCTGAGAAACTCAGAGAGCAAGGCATGCTGAGCACGCAGCCACAAGATGATCACCCGATTCTGACTTTCGCCTCGGCGCAGGGCATCGGAATTCCAGCCCTCACGGAAGCCAACACGACGACTTGCAAGGGCGCTCAATTCACAGAACTGTAATCGCAGCTGAATTCGATGCGGGTGGCAAGAGGATGTTCTCTGGTTTGATGTCGTTGTGGGTCTGCTTGCCTGGAAGGAGGAGGCCGAAAGATCTGTGCGTGAAGAATTGGAGGACCAGGTTTCCTTGCTGTGCCTTTGTGGATGAAGGCCAGAGCCGACGAGACTTGTCGGGTGATGGCCGCCAAGCCTGCCACAAGCAGACCAGACAGTGCCCCTTAGAGAGGCTTTGGCCATCTTTCCCGCCTTCGAGGTCTAGCAAACCCTTCTTCGACAAATGCTGCGCTGTGCCACGATCCATGTATTCAAGGACCATGCAGATGTATCCTGAGTCAAGAGTTGCCGATCCCGGCCTCAGTCAAACTCCAGAACCTAGAACTTGCTTCCTGAAGTGAGGCCCAGTCGGTCCGACAAAATCTTGGGCCGCTTTCCTGTGAACACGCCGTCGTCAAAAGCTTTACCAATCTTTCCTCACATCAGGAGCAAAGTTTGATGCGTAAGAGTCCGTAAGAGAGTGAAAAATAGCAGTGAGTTGTGGAGCAGCTGACTATCACTGCCAAGAAACTTTCCAACTCGCTTTTACCATCATAGTGTACAAGCACCTGTTGTGAGCAAGACTGCTGCAGAGACTGTGAGAATCAATTGCTGCAGATGACTGTATCAGCCTGGAGATGAGCGACAACGTGCTCGTGAGCGCATTTGGAGCCTCAGCGGTTTCAACCTACTACACAAATGAATTTCTTGTCATCTTAAGAGGACCGGACCATGAGCCCATTCCTGTGCCGCAACTGCTGCCCATCTGGGACTCTGCAACTTCACAACCTGGTCACAGCATAAGCGTCTGGGCATTGGCACTTGGAGTGTGAAATGAATCCGTGTCTTTGCAGAGACTCTCTGAGCTCCTGACCACCTTCTGTTTGTGTTCCTTGTCCTGGCATGTCAAAACCTGGGCAGGATTCCATGCCGAAGGACATGCTATGGCAAGCTGTAGCGTAGCTACTTCCTTGCGGCAGGGGTACAAAGCCATAGGCGCCCTTCCCAAGCATCTCCACCGTCTTGAGGTCGCAGTAATTTTGAAGCTGCTCTGACCTGGTTTGTTGAGCAATGGCAGGCTGGGGCCCACTGCGGCCACTCCTCTTATCTTGTCTTCTGGGCATATGACGCAGACGACTCCATCAGAGAATGCAGGAAACCGACATAGCCTGTCGCAAGCCCTGCTCTGTACTGCTCCCTACGTGTTCAAAAAGTTCCAGAGGCGGCAAGGACAAGTAAGACCAGCCTTCCACGATTTTCTCCTGTTGGTTCTCCAGTCGTTGCAGAGAATACTGCTTTTCCTTCGCCGCAAGAGTCAGCTGGCAGCAGACCCGGGACGCAGGGCAAAACTCTCATCGAGCACAAGTGTTCACCTCAGCCTCCAGGCAAGAGGCGTCTGGATCCGTCGCAGGCCATTCCAACCCCTCCCTTCCTCATCCCTTCCTACCTCCCCCCTTTCCGCGTTCGTGCTGCCTTGATCATTTATGCGTTGGGGACTGCGTTGGCTGGGTCCCCCTCCAGCTCGGAATCCTTCAAAAAAATCCCTCACACCTGTCTGCTCCGCAACTTCTCTCTGGTGCTGATATTATGGCTGCGGGCTTGTGTGATCTTGACATGTCAAATGAGGCTTCGTTCGATGTCCCGTTTGCGTTCAAACGAAGCCGATAGCTAGCACTTCTGAGTTTACCTGCCTGAACGCAGATGTTTCCAACCTTCTTGGCTTCCAACCATCTCATGTATAATAAGTGTACTCGCCACCAAGAAAATTAGGAGTATGATCCCAGGCATCAGGCTATTTAGCGCTACAAGTAGCCTATGCAGGTCTTTGCGGCGCACCAATCTGCTGCAAACAGCTAAGCACACAACACGGACCAACGTTCCGCCATGCTTTGTCAACGTTCGGCTCGAGATGCCAGGGACTCAAAAAGCAATGACGGAACAGTGTTGCACAGGGCAGCCACACTTCTACGTCTCGCTACGCCTTGGCCGTAGCGTCCAGACATGGCCAAACCAAAAACCCAGCAACATCACGACCCGGTTCCTACGACCCGGCTGGGCACAGCAATTACAAGCGCACTTGCTCCCAGCGCATAGTCGTGCTGCTGCGAGCCCAGCAGCCCAGGCGGTGGAGGTGCGCTCGCGTTCACGCGTAACCCACGGCCTTCTCACAATTGCCGGCGAGATGCATGCAGCTCCTTCTTGAGCCGTATTATCCTGAGATGATGTCCAACAACCACACCATGTTCGCATCATTTCGCATCCATGCATTCTTGCCCACCGCGGTGCTCATCGCCCGAGACAGATGTGCCACCAGGAGGTTCACCAGCCACACTGACATCCTGGGATGGTCCATGAGGCTAGGGTCTGGCCACATATCTTTGACCGGAAGCTTCAGCTGTCCTTGCTGTTTTGCCGGCTCCTTTGAGCGAGTGCCTCCTCACGAGCCACCTGAAGCTTGGCCTGAAGCTGAGTCACCACCTGTCCATATCTTTTGCAATGACACCAATCCAGCAAATTAGGAAGGAGTTTGCAACTTCCTTCTTCAAGCTGTCATGGGCGGGCGGCCTTCTCGCGTTTCCGTGCCTCGGCCTCCAGCTCGTCTACACGCTTCTTGAGCTGCGCGATTTCCTCCACAAGAGTCAAAGAGGCAACAGGGCAACGCTGATCTCTTGTTGTCTGAAGGCCTCGTCGGGCCCATCAGGTGTAGAAACCTCCGGCACACGAGTCCTGGGCAGGCCATCTTAATTTACCAAGCGGAAGATCGTCGTGAACACCATGCTTCCTTCTCAAGGCTTCCAAGGATCTCTCGAGTCAGGCTTAACCTCCGCTTCTCCGAGAAGTCCCGCACCATCTCTAGCTCTGACGGTGTGAAGAAGGATACATCGCCCGTGCTAAAGACAAAGTCCAGAAATTCCTGGAAGCTGATAAGCCCATCCTCATCCGTGTCCAAGACAGTCCAGAGCGTGTCCATCTGTTCCCCCTTCGGGTCCTCCGTTATGGCGTTCTACGCGGATCATCATGAAAGTCGATCTTCCTATCGAAGAAAGCCGAGGCTGCGGCCAGCCCAAGGAAGCTCAGCAACTCTACCAACTCCTCCCTTTCGATCTTCCCTGCTTCACAAAACACATAAAACACTGGAAATTTTGCAAAGACCTGATCAAAAGTGCCGCCGATGTGCCGGAGCCATTGAAATCTAGCATGGCAAACCTCAGCATGAAATCCGCCGTCACAGGCTTGAACTAATTTTAGATGATGAGAACGTGTCAGATGGTGCCAGGCATGTTGCTGCTCTTGGATCCGGCGCAGCTCCTCATCGCCGGGTTCCATCATTCGCCATCAGCCCACGCTAAACGGCATGGACCATGGCGAGGTGGCTTGGCCCGCAGGCCAGTTCTGCGTGGCTGTTCGCTGTCTCATGCGCGCTTTGTTGCCTTCATTGACCTTTGTAGGTGGACCTTTCGCGAAACAAGGGGAAGTTGGGCTTACCTCCTAAAAAGTGAAGCATGCGGCGGCAGACTAAGGTTGAGGAGGATGGCTTCGATCTCGACAGTTGTACAGGTCTGAAGCTGCTGGTGCTGCTGCTGGGCACTGTGCTGTTCTGCTGCGCTGCTGACTGAGCAGAGCGCACTGCACGCGTGGCAAAAGGCATTGGTACAGATGCCACAGCAAAGATGCTATGCAGATTGTGCAGTTCGTTTCTGAAGCTTTTTTTGTGCCTGGACACCAACAGTTGCTCTGAGAACCATGAGCAGAGCCTGCAGGCTTTGTACTGCAAATTCTGGGATGCCAAGCATGCCCGGCCTGGCGCTCTCCATGCCGAGAGCGGTCATGCTGCTTGTGTACAGCCTCCAACAGCTCTTTGGATCCTCGCAAGGTTTGTGAGCGGAGCTGTTTGCCTTTCTGAGCACACTAGTAGCTGGCATCTGGTGCGATGCAGCTGCATGAGGATCATCTAATTACCAACATTACCCTGCTCCTGCTCCTGATGCCTCCACTTACCCTCTGCCCGCAACTTAGCCGCTACTTCGAAATAAGAAGAGGGAAGCAACGTCCTGCGTGGGTTGCTGCTCGGTAGCCAATCATGCGAGCGGAGCACACAACAGGCTCCTGCCGAGAATTCCAACTATGATCTTGGTGCAGCCCCTCATGGAAACGCCTGCAGAGTAGAAAGGCTGAATCCAACGCACGCAGCCAGGGCCTCAATGGCCGCACGCATTGAAAGCTGCGAGGCATTACACCACCAAGGCCGATGCCGCTGCCACGGCATCTTGAGCTGGCTGCATGCTCGACTCCTCTGCGAGCAAATCAGCAGGACTAGAGGCGAGGGAAGCGCAAGTCACGCAACAGGTCGTGTCACTTGAGGGTGTGGCAACCATGCATCGCCTGCTCAAGTAGCACAACCAGCTTGAAGCGGATGATAAAACCTCCGCAACTTTCTTGCAGCGAGCGACATAAACTGCCAAACATGTCAAGACGATGCCTGCAAGTTTAGGTCAGGATGGCCGAAGGCCTGACAGGCGCTGATGAGACCAACGTGGAATTCTAGTCTTGTCGCGCACCTGCATCGTTGCCATGCATCCTAGCATGGGCTGTGCTTCCAGCCGCATATCCCGCGACCTCAATGTGCTTGGATCAGACTAGCCTTATGCTTCTATGCGCCACCTTTCAAATGGAAGGACGATAACAAAATCCTTTGAGGCAAAAGCTCTATGGGTCCATGCAGCAGGTCTTTCAACCTCGCGCAATCCAATCACATGCGAGCGCAAGGGAAGGTGCAAGGGGGAGCCTCGCCACAGCTGGAGCGGCCACGACCCGTTGAAAGCCAACCTTTGCAAAAGCGATTGCATTCTGTTGTGGAACTACACTGATGCCTGCAGGTTCAATAGTCCATGCCTGCAATTCATCTGGAAGTCTGTGAGCTGCCAAGATGTCCACCGCGATGACCTCGTGCTGCACAGATTGCAAACTAGTTTCAAGTCTTACAAGTCCAGGATGGAGCACACAGCCAGTCAGCCAGGCTCATGGCTGCCTCAGAGAACCCAGCATTGCCGGCATCCTGGCTCTGGGCTCTGAGTTACATTGTCTCGGTACGAGAAACACGGCAGCTGCTGTGCCTGCGTGTGCAGTCTTCGAAACAGTTGCCAGGCATCGCCTAAGGCTTTAAGGGGAGGTCACCAAACAAAACTTGTGCGCAAAAGTCCCACTTCCGCTGCGACATGCTGCGACCTAAGGAAGGCACAGGAAGCTCTGGTCAGAAGTGCTGGTACACCTGCAACACTTACCGCTGCAATGCGGCGGCAAAACGCGGCCAAAAAAGCGAAAGCGCTCCTGGGCTGTCGAGAGCAAGCTCCGACACCTCCAGGACCTCAGAGGACATCGATAGCAAAATCTGGCAAACATGCCATTCCATCAGTTATTCCATCAGTTTCATCAGCAGCTAGAAGCTTTTACGCCAGGCAGTGTACGGCGGGAGATGCGCCATTTCTTCCGATTCGGATCTGGATGCCCCCGCAACCCCGAAGACATCAATAGCTGGGTGCTGCGACAACTCCGAGGGCAGTGGAATCTGCACCCTGAGGGAGTTGAATCTCTACTGCAATGCCAAGTCTGCCGCGTCCTGCCTCTCCTAGTCTCAAGAGAAGACTCGCTGCCTGAGGCAAGCAGCTGGCTTTGATCAGGGCACATGATACGGTCTGGTAGAGCATGCACCAAGCACCTGAAGCTGTACACCATCAGCTCCAGCAAGCGCGGCATCTCGGCAAACTTGCAGGGCAATATTCCATGTCATCACATCCTGCCTAGGCTGCTCAATGCCACAGATCAGCAGCTCAAGCAAGTGAGGCAGAGTCTAAGATCCGCTGCCGAATGTGGCTTGAGTCAGCCTGTTTAGTTTCAGCCCGCCAGGGCAGGCATTGGGGCTTGCAAGATCCTGCCTGCAGCTGCAGAGCTCTCATCCAGCGATTGCTGTCCTGCGGGGGGCCACTCTCTGCATCCTCTCTGTAGCTAACCACTTTTGTGAAGTAGTGCTGTGCGAGCTAGAATCTGCAGGCAAACTTCGATAAACCATGCCTTAAAATGTTCTGGTATTCTGTTCCTCTCTTGCTGCGACGACGCTGCTTCCAGAAAGTGCCGACAGTGCTGCTGCAATTGTCTCAGAGCTGATCTGCAGACCTGGACATGTGACAGCCCTGGCTGAAACAGTGATCGATGTGCAGGGCCTCGCTCTCCAGCTCCAGACATCATGCGGACTGCTAAGACCCAACGGCCAGATCCAGGGCCTGCACCTGCATCATGCTGCAAAGCACTTGCAGAAAGAACAAAGAGGCGATGGACGAAACAAAGCTGTGACAAAAGATTGCAGTGAGCGCCACAAGCAGCAGTGCCAGCGGCCACGCTCACAGCATCCAGGCGAGTTGATTGACCTTGTTGGTTAAACAACTTCCCTAGCTGTTGATGCGCTGGAAAACCACACAGGTCCGCAAATGTCACAGGGCACGGCGTTGCGTCCTTGTAAGCAGCTGGCATGAAGCCTGCAGACACAATGGCTGCCATGTTCCCCGCTGTTGGTACAGCCAAACCGTGGCCTTCCAGTGGTCTGCCCTCTCGCAGGCGGTTAAACAAGTGTTGAGGGAGATGACCTGAGCATTGCTGGTGTTTGCCTTGCCCACCCATGTGGCACTCGATGATTATCCAAGAGTTGAGCATCATATTGGCATCCGGCTTGTTGCAACCTGCATGCGATGCAGTAGCGCAGCTGCGCTTTGCAGGGCTAAAGCTTCACAAGCCTTTGCAAGAGACCCAACGCTGTGTGCCAGCATCTCCCCGACGCGCAGGCGGCCATCCCTGTGTTGCACAGAGCCTCACAGTTCAATTTGCTCCATTCGACAGGCCATCTGTGTGTCTTCAGCTTTTGCCGCGCGCTCGGTCAGGAGGTAGAATTTCAGCCGCAGTGTCCAGTCTCAGGCCACATGGACAACTCAGCCAAGCACAATGTGGTGAGGTCGAATTGAGTCTGGAACAGCTCCAGGGATCGCTCCCACTGACTCGACTTGCAGCAGGTTGCCATCACTGCACCTAAAGTGCATTGAGCTTGTCTGCGCTTGCCAGCCTCGATACAAAGAAACTCAGCTTCTAACCGAGAAGTGCAGAATCTTGGCAGGCTATGCGTCGATCTTGCATCTCCTGCACATCTTAGATAGCTGAGTACCGCCAACTTCGAGAATGCAGGAGCAAGTTGTAGCGTCCTGAAGGCAGGACAGCGCACTTTGCCAAGCCAACTCCATCCTGGTCAGTTGATTCTGGAACAAGTCAGCCCCCGTACAGCTGGAAGAATGCTGAGCTTCAGTCTTGCAAGCCAAGATAGTACTCCCGAAGGTCACCTTATAACACCATGTCCCACCACCGGAGCAAGACACATGTTGGCAGCTGCAAATCAAAGGGCGTGGCGAGGTCCGGTTCAACCTGTAGCTCCTGCATGGCGTGTCAGACACAGCGTACTCACAGCGTACATGCCAGCAATGCTGAGCCAGGCGGCTCCTTCATCTCAGGCAGAATGCGAAGAGCATAACGTGCCTGCATGCCTCATTCATCAGGCCTTTGCAAACTGAAGCCACACAAGTCACAACTTCCGCCAAGTTGCCATTCTGGCAAGCCGTGATGGCAGTGTTGTGTGTCACCTGTCTCAGTCGCAGCAAGACAGCCCAAGATTCCAGAACATTGCCGAGCTTGGTGCCATGTCGCACCCGCAGCTGGAGGAAGTCATGGTGGCCTATTTGAAGACTCACTTCGCAGCTCGCAGCTAAGCACACACCAATGCACCGTCGAAGGCACCTGCAGGGCCAACCCAGACTGCCACATCGCAGCACGCGCAAATCCACTCAGCGCAGCCTGCCGCAGCTCATCTAGGCCAGGCGAAAGTAGGATTTAAGGCAAGCCAAGCCCGGAGCGTTGTGGGCAATGACACTTCGTTCTAGGCCCTGCGAAGTGGATGTTTGCAGGGCCTGCGAGAAGGTCTTTCTGGCTTACGGTCAGGCAGACACAATTTCGCCGCCCGTCCTCTGCAGCCTGCTGCCAAAGACCAGCCTTCACACATGCGGATATTGCTGCTCACCGACAAATCATTGACAGATTGCAGTGAGATCGAAGGTCTTCTAGAATGTAAAAGATGTCTTTGACATGCGGCTGTGTTGGGAACCAGAAACCCTTTTCATGAACAGGCACAAAGCTGAAGCGGGAATCGTGTACAAACTCAGACTTCCTATCATGTAAGGCCTCCTTGTAGGAATCGACCAACTTACCGGTGGTGATGGCATCCAGCCTCCAACCAAGCACCTGAAAAAGGCAAGCCAAATCCATTGGTAGATATGCGGTATTCTATAGCACAGAAAATCTGCAGCCTCCCACTTTGCCAGCAAGTCTGCAGCCTGAGTGACACCAACCTACTTCTATTTTCTAGGAACAATTCCTCCAACTGTGAGGTTACTGCCAACTGTTGCTGTGAGTTTGCGACCATGTGCCAGCAAGTAGACTGGGCAAAGACCGTCATGGCCTCAAGCATTGGGCTTCATATGCTTGGCTTCTCCTCTGCGGAAGCTGAGGGATGTGCGGCACCAACAATTTTGATTTCCTGCAGAAGCCAAGGAGAGTTTGCACCATATCGGGCTCAAGCGGCGCGGGTCCCAAGCCTGCGTCGCCAAGCTCTTCTGAACCTTCCACAGCAGCAACTTTAGAATCAGAATGCCGCACATGAAACGTTCAGGGAAGCCTCGAGGAGACCAAGCATGACCATCCATGACAGCGCTCTCGGAGCTGCAATAAGCGAGCGTACATTGATGAGCGAAGTCTCCTTTCGAAAGGAGCGTGCTCAATGTGCCAAGGGCTTTTGGTTCCAGAAGGGTTTGACTCATGTTTTGCCAGTGCTTTGCCAGTGCTTTGGGGCCTGGCGGAGCTGCAGACTTTCTAGGAGCAGCTCGGAAGCGCTCTGCCCATGGCGTTCCTGAAAGAGCTGACTTCGGACCATGTGCACAGACAAGACGCCCAGCCAGCCTCTTTGCGTGCTTCTCCGCTTGCCACGTTCTCTTGTGCCATTTGATCGTGAGAAGCCCACTCTGAGACCAACGCCCCAGCGGGACCGCCGGTTCCAGCTCTGTCCTGCCGCCGTTGTGGATGTTCCTGGCTGGTGGACCGAGAATGAAGTCAAAGTCATCTCGCATCTGGCGGTAACAACGCTCATATCTAACACTGTCAAGGCAGCGCTGTTTTGCGGCCTACGACGCTGGCGATATGAATTATGTGCCAGCATCTTCAGTGGGATGATGCCGATACGCTCCAATCCCAAATTCAACAGGCACAGAATCAGAGACTTGACCACCTCCCCACGATCGACCGCTGCCTTCTCCAGCTGACGGGCTCCGGCTCTGGCTTCTGATCGCCTTACAATTGGGCCGGAAGTCAAGCAACATTCAGTTGTATTTGAGACCATTTACAGACTAATGCTATGCCTTTACGATCCTGTCACATAGCGAGCCAGCTCATACTGGGGCGCATGGCATGCGACGCGCTGGATAGGCTTGTGCCACGCAGTGGACCTGAAGACCAAGGAAACCAGACTCGAGACTCACCAGAAACCGAACCAAAAAACTGTGGAGTATCAGAACGATGACGAAACATTGGAATGACTGGACTGAACATGGCGAGCATAAAAACTATGGCCCAAATTTGCTGGCCGTTGCCTGGCCAACATGCAGATCAAGTTTTCGTATCGCAAAATATTTGAACGAGCGGTCTCTCACTGAGCGACTCTGAGTCGCCCAGCCTAATGACTGCTCCGCGTCATCTTGCATGGGGTGCCTGCAAGCATAGTCCCTTACAAACGAATCCACTCCGAAAGCGCTTAGGCTCATATAGGCGCGGGCCTCTCTGTCAAGAGCACCATGTTCTCGAGGTGAAGAAGCATGATGCTCATTTGCTAGCACGTCTTAATGCTGAGGGCTGAGAGCTTGATATGAGTATGCGCCTGGAGGCTGTGGGGCGAGCCAAAATCCTGGCGGCGAACCGTCGCTGTTGGAGACCTCACCTCCATCGATAGCGCTCTACTTTGCTACTGGCAAGGCAGAATCGCAAAAGGTAGCCCTTTAGAATCGTGTTGCAAAAGCGCAGCAAGTGACTTTGAACGTGGCGCTCACAATGCAGAGTAAGTCCTGGCAGTCAAAACTCAGCAAGCATTAGCTGGCCGGGTCGCACCACTTCCAAGAAGCGAATCTCAGCAACTGTTCAATGGTGTTGACGTACGGTCCCTGGGTCCACCTCCGGCCACGTTGGCTTAGGTTGAAGGCACGCCCAAGCAGTGGCTTACAGCCTCTCCGTAGCTCCTCGGGCAGAGTCTCTCCAAACAGTACAAATCTTTCATCAAGCCCGGACAGCGAATCGTACGGCCACCATCGTGACGTCGCCAAAGATGAGGCAGCTTTTCTGATCGAAACGAACGTGTTTAGCCTGTAGGCAGGATCTTCTACGACCCCGACAAACGGATCATCACGCGCGCTTCCTGACGGCCCAGGTAGCAGAGTTCCGCTTCTCGGGATTGCCGAATTGTCTTGGCTGGGAAATGCCCTTGCACGCCGGAGTCTCCCGGTTATACCTGAAGAAGTGGCGAAATTCCTGAGACGCTGCTTCCAGAATCGTTGCCGATGTCAGTGCCAATTTTTGCGGGCGCCTCACGGCTTGCGCAGAGGGACCTCTCGCACTTCCACCTAGGTGCACGGCAAACCTTTTCAGAATGGTGTCAAAAGCTGTCAAATGATGGCCTCAAAGAAATGCACCCCGCCATCCTCGTCCGCAAAAACCAAGCTTCGCCTCTCCAAGAAAAAACATGGAAAGCTTCCTTGACATGTTGACATGCACGGAAAGTGCGAAGGATACATTTCAAAGAGCGCTTCCCAAGCCCGCTCCGATTCATCCCCGCAGCCATGCTCCCTCCGAGGCTGTCCCGAGCTGTTCAAAGTTAGCCGACTTTCTTTTCTTGGTGTAGCTGGTTCCTTTCCATGGATGCGACTTGCACATTCTTCTTACAGCACTAGACGCCCAACCTAGGGCAGCTTTGCACAGTCTCGGCTGAAGATTTGGGCAGAGCTGCTGTAGGATTGTCCCTATGCAACCGGTCCAAATTGAACTATGACTGGGCTCTACATTTCAGCGGATCTGAGGCTGTGCGCCTGACATCATCCCCCCAGCGTGGCGCACAGCCCATATGCACCAGCGAAGCATCGCCTGCAGCAAGATGCAGACGTGCTCACCTGTTATGGTCACCACTTTCACCATCTTCCGAGGTTGTCGCACTGACAAGTACAGAGTCTTTCCGAGGCTTCCTGTGATGTTACGACCACTGGCTCCGGTGGCATCCTCCCACCTAGCAAGGAACATTGGCACAAAGAGCCTACCAGTTTAGTAACCATGCTGGCAGTACTGAGCACGTCAGTGAAATCCCAGAGCTGCAGCTGCCGATCCCAAGAATATGAGACCTTCACTGAGCAATTGCAAGGTGGACTTCAGAAAAGGGAGTTTAACTTATCTGTGGGTAGTTTGAGAAGATACCACACTCCTGACGCTCTTGTCAAGACTTCGTCTTCATGCCTATGCGAAACGGCGTCCTTTGTTAACCGGAGAGGCGCTGCATAGATCAGTCAGGGCCAGTCTCAGGTCGACACACAAAGGCCCGCAAAGTCACCTTTCAGTTGAAGGTGCGCTAGGACAGCCCAAAATGGCCAGATGTGAACAAATCTGTAAATAGGAGTCATGATTCTGGCACGCTTGCTAAAACAGCGAAGCAAGCCGAGCCTGCCAAGGTTGCTCCAAAGCCTTTGACCACCCAGTCAGAGACCTGCCAAGGAGATGCCAAGGTTGCTTTGCCAGTGCACTCTCTCCTGAGTAAATTGGAGTCAGCCGTGATCTTAGCACGTGATGATTCTCCTGGAACTAGGAGCAGCACGAGTGCAACCAACCTGCCCGTTTTCAATCTGGTCCCAGATCTTCCCTGGGCGCCTGGGTCACTGCTAACAGCAGCTGCCCAGAGTCCAGCTCCCACACACGCAGCGCCTGCGACTGATTTGGGAAATCACACATGCGAAACCCAGACAGAGGCGTGAAGTTTGAACAACCTTTGCCTTGTCCCAGCTTGTGGTCACCGCACGCCGGTCATCCGTGCTGAGCGAAATGCTGCAAGGTGTGATGACCGTTAGCTCCTGGCGCATCACGTCCTTGAATTCTGCAAGAATGTGGCCATCAGAACCTTTCTCTCCGACCCACACAAGTCGTGGTGCTTGGTAGTCGCATCCACACATAACCCGCTGGCGATCTTTGGTCCAAGCAAAGCAACGCACTCCAGCGTCGTAGGGCTTCGCAGTGGCAGTACAGACTCTGCCCTTGACGGACCAGCAGCAGACGCTGCCATCTTCACTGCCCGTCGCTAAGCAGTCGTGTTCCAGCCACTGGCAACAATAAATTCGCTCGCTGTGAGCCTCTGGCTCTACCCAGACTGCCTCAAAGGGTTCTTTCAAGCTGAGTATCCAGAGTTTGCCGGTGTCGCATCCAATTGCAACCATGGAGCCGTCCAGGCTCATGGTTGAACACAGTGGCCTGTCATCATCCTCTGCTGACCCGTCTACTTTGAAGAATCCTGTTTGGCTGCCGGTTGAACAATCCCAAAGTCCTATTTGTAGACCCCCATTTGTCTTGCCTTCAGTCAGATCTGAGGACACAGACACCGCCCGGCAACCATCAACGGACACCGCGACTCCCGTCACTGCGTACGAATGCTTGCCAGGACCAGCAGCAGTTAAGTGATAGGTTTGCATCATTTTCGGAACACTCCAGACTCGGATGTCGCCACTTGCCGAGTAGAGCGACTTCAGATCAGGCGACAGCACGACAGAAAAGGCGCCAGAGAAGATCCGCACTTGTCCAGCAATACGCTGCTTGGCAACATCGAAAAGAGAAATAGAGTTGTCATCGGATCCACAGGCCACATAAGAGCCATCGCGAGCTACACTCACTGAATGTATCCAATCCGAGTGCATGCCGGGTGCGGAACACAAAAGATCGCACGAAAGTCCTCCCTTGCCGGTGCTGCGAACCGTCCAAATACGCAACACGCCATCGTCATTTCCACATGCCAAGAGGTTGCCAGCTCGGCTAAGGTTCACAGCCCGAACGTCTTGATCTCCCACCACAAACTTTATGACGAGTTGTGCACTGAACTCGGACGATGCACCAGGCTTCTTCCGCTTTGCCTCTTGCGGACTTAGCCTCCACAAGACTGCTTGCTTGTCGTCGCAACCACAGGCAAGCAGAAATTCGCCGGTCGAACCACCAGGCACTTCACTGGAGTGAATCGCAGCCACTCTGGCCTCGTGATTGCAAGCGGTCTTGGCACTCTGGAGTGCAGAGTTGCTGTACAGGATCAGCTCCACATCTGACCCAGATGCCACAGCCACGTGCACATCCCCAAAAAACTGCACCACACTCAGGTTACCGGCAAAGCCAGACCGACGCCTCATGATATTGCCATCTGCCAAGCTCCACAGAATTACTTCGTCCTTGTCTCCAGAAACCACGCAATCAGTCTTTAGATCCACAGTGAGCACTGCGCTTTCGTGGCCCAGCAGTTCAAAGAGCATTCGGCAGTCCTGCGTAAGGTCCCAGATTTTCACCGAAAGGTCGTTGGATGCACTTGCCAACAAAGTGCCATCCTTGCTCACCGCAACACATCGCACCTTGGAGCACAGGAGTAAGGGGGTCGTTCGTTTAGATTTAGAGTTTGAGCTTTAGAGTCGAGGGTTTTCTCAGGAGTTAGTTACTGGTTTTAATTCTAGCCAGGATTTGGGGGTGGCCTATTGGTGGTCTTCAGATCTTAAATCGAACTCATCTAACTTCAGGGCTTGGGGTTCAGGAGTCCAGGGTTAGGGTTGAAGGTTTTTCTGGGTTTAGGGGTTCAAGGTCTTAGGTCTGGTTCAAAGGTCCTTGAGGGCTTCGGGGGTTTGAGGGCTTAAGGCCTGGCCAACAAAGCTTGGGGTTGGGGTTCTAGGGTTCTTGGGTTCTAGGGTTTAGGCTTGGTGGTCCTGAAATGTCGAATTGCACTCATCTTGGGTCTAGGGTGGTGTAGGTTGCAGTTCATTCAGCAACCAGGAGCGCGCAGGGTTTAGGGTTTGGGTCCTGAGCCTGGGAGTTGGAGCGTAGGTTTGGGTTAAGGCCTTTTAAGGCTTAGGGTCGTTCAAGGTGTTGCCACCCAGTCTTGCTTAAAGGCTTAGGATTTAGGGTTGGTGGTCTTCAGAAGTTGAATTAAACCCCTCTAGCGCTTAGGCTTTAGGAGTTCAGCTGAAGGCGTTTTGGAGACCAGGGGGTTGGAGGGCTAGGGCGCAGGATAGGTCTCAGGGCTTGGGAGGGTGAAGGGTTCAGGATTAAAACTTTGGGTTGAAGGTCTTATAGGGACGAGCGGGGACGGAGGCGGAGGATTTAGGTTTGGAATTTTAGGGAGCTGGAAGGCATGAGAGGTCGAGAGTTTAGGGTTTAAGGTCTTCAGGTTTAGGGTATGCCCACCCCAAGGCCACGCAAACACGAATCACAGCAGACTTCGTGTGAACTTGAAGCTCGGAATCGGTCTGGGTGTGTTTTCGGACTTGGTTTGGAAACAACCCGAAAGGGGCCAGATTTGATCGGAGGCTCGTATTTAGGCGGGGAATGCTTGCTGCGTTTCGGATTTAGTTTGGGAGTGCCAGCAAGAAGGGCTTGGATTTGGTCTGCGCCGCAGGGGCCTTGCTGGAGCATGTTGCTGGATGCGTCAACTCATTCAAGCTCCCGTCAGCGGGGCCCACCAACCTACAGAATCGTGGTAGGAGTCTTGCAGGGCCTAGGATTTCAGCCCCTGTGTCTGAGACCACTGGGCTTCGGGCCCAGTCTTTGTGCAGCTGTAAAGTCCTCTGCAGGAAACACTTGGAACAAGCCCACAAGGTCTAGTGCCCCATGCCGCATTTGTCATGCTTGCTGGGAATTTGTGAATTGTACTGGAAACGCCACTTCTTGACAAGAAGTCCTCTGCAAAGGCCCTCCCACTCCTTCACAGGCTTCACATGATGTACATGTACGACGCTGTGGTGGGCAGGAGGTCCTTGCAGGCTTCTCTGAGAGACCTTGAAAAGAATTGCAGGATTGGGCTTTTGAAGTACTTTGGGACTTCTTGCTTGATATTGCTTGATGAGACCAGGGCTGGGCGAGCGCTGCAACGCCATTTCGGAGCACCCGCCGCCAAAGGGTAGACACCTTCCTGTGCAGCGCATGCAAGGCCAGCCCAAACAATGGAACAAAACGCGCTTCAGCTCTGCAAAATCCCCGCTTTCAAGGCACGCTCAGCACCGGAGAGTAGAGCTACCAACGCACCTCAGCTGACATGCAAGCAAGCGCAAGAAAGCGCATAGGTGTCATAGCTTGAGGACTCTGCTGGGCGCCGGCCCTGAAGCCTGCGAAGGGGAGTCTGCCTGTCCAGAAGGCTTTGCGCAAGGTAGATGCCAAGTTACACTAATGGACATCGTAGTGGCCTCAGAGCCCAAGAGCCTGCCGAGGACCTGAGTGTCAATGAACAGATAACATCAACTCAGCTTGAGGAGCAACATGCATTTGCAGGCAGGCGCTAAGGTGCTGTCCTGGAAAGGCAGCTGGGAAGCGTCTTCCGTCAAGATGTGCGCACTCAGCGTCAAAACCTGCAAAAGACCCCACTGCAAGCAACGGCGCTATGAGCTTGTTTGGATCCAATCTGGGAGGTCCGTTGCTGGCTGGGAGAATTTTTCTGAGCGTGGAGTCGCGTCTGCGCCAGGCTCAAGTATGGCTCTGAGGTGCATGTTGTCTTTGACAGACACAAAGAGTTGTGCAAACAAATTAGGAAACCGACGTGCATACCCAAATCGGTTAGGACTTGTAGTTTCTGCGGCCACGCCGCCTCGAGACAATTGAGACCTTGTGACTTCCCACAAGGCTCTGCCTCGAGAATGATGGGAGACTGCTCGGTGGCAGGCTCTGCATTTGGTGTGATTGAAGCAGGCAGCTTCAGTCTAGTTCAGCCTCTGGCACATTCTGTGGCTTAGGAAAGCTTGACCCTCCAAATGCGGAAACTTGCCTACCGCTCCTGAAGAGCATACTGAAAGTGCTATCATTCCCCGAGCTGCAATGATTTTATGAAGAAGCCACGGCATTGAAGGACTAAGAAGCTGAACTAGGACTAGAAGGATGCATGCTCTCCCAAACGCTTCCCGCAACCCAGTGCCCTCTGACCTCCAGTAGAGCTTCCCAAGGGTTGTTCTGCACCTGCGTCATAGATCTTGCAGCCTTACATGAAGGACTTGCAACATAGATGCATCGAGCGTGTCCCGTGGGATTACTCTCTTCTGGCTGCCTCGTCCACACAGGAACCTGCGGCTTCTTTCTGAGCAGGTCGAGCCTTAATCTGCAACTGCTTCACTCATTCAGCCATTCAGCGTGTGAACAAATGAGCCATTTGAAGATCAGCCAAGCTTCTTTGGGTTTAGCTGTGCCGGGGCTGGCTGATGCCTGACGGGTTCGAATAAGTCACCTAACCGGGACGCATTCAGCTCCGCCAGTTTACAGGCGCCTTCCTCATGGCCGAGGATCTTGCCTGTCAAGCAGCCCTCCCAGTCAGGATCTTCCTATTCCTGATTCATTGTGGCCTTCGCTTGCTGGGAAGAGCCTTGCTGAATCATCAGTCACAACATCACTCAACTCACTGCACTCGTGGTGCTTTGCTTGCCATAGCTACCAGCTGAGGCACCCAGTGCAGTTGCTGCACTAGCAGCTGAGCCCACAGGACCTTTCAAGCATGCTCAATCTTCAACTCCTTTGCAAAGGATTCCCAGATCCGGGAACCCAGCGGCTTGGTCCACGTTGAGGAAGGCATCCAGGAGGAGCGAACGCCCGGACATCTGCAACCTGAGACCCAGATCAACAGGGCAGCTGCTGTGCCCAAGTCAGGCCCTAGCAGCAGTCAAATGACCGTATCTCTAAGTGGCCATGGGCTCAGCAACTCTTGGATCTCAAAGACCTCCAGAGATTTCGTTTACACTGGCACCTGTGGCTTCTCCGTTGCAGCAGCCTCCACTGGCTCCGTGCATGGGTTGATTTTCTGGGCATGCTGTTAAGTTTTCTTCGAATGCAAGAATCTCTTTCCTGATGGTGTTGCTTCTGACAGCACTCAGGCAGGTCTGCCTTTCGATGGCAATAGTATCGCCCCAGGTTCAAGGGCGATGTGTTTTTCCAGGTCCCCTTATCCCCCTCCATGTCGCACGAGCCCAGCTGAGCTCGCGCGGAAATTGTTGTTCCCAGCAAGGCCGCAGTTTGCAAAGGAATTGGATTTAGGGTTTCCCCTGGCAAAGAACTACATATCAGCAGATTGTCTGGATAAGCAGCACTGAACTACCTATGACTGTAATAGTTTCAAGACTCATCGATGTCGGATTTCCCCTATGGAAAAAGGGCTTTGCCGAGTTTGTTGAGAAATCTCTTCTCCACTGTAGTGAAACCCACTCCTAACAAGAAGAATTCTTTCAGCGGAAGCCTAAAATCCTACAAGACTACTTTGAAAGGAGAAGCTGCGAATTACGTGGTTTTATAGTGTTGTATATAAGAACCCATTGCCACGAATGCAACCGAAATTCGCAATGATAGTTACGGATCTCTCTCGTTTCCCAGGCTTTGTTTCTTGAATGTTTTGATCAACGAAAATCTCATAAAAGAATCTAAAGAAATTCTAAGCCTAAGCTTTGACTTACTCGAATGTTACAGATGTCCACTGTTATTCTCGTGGACTTAGAAAGAAACTTGTCTAAGAGGATCGAAAAGAAATCTGATTGAATTATGGATTTCTGTTGTTTCCTATAGACTGACTAGTATTGCAAGAGGTAGAAGATGTTTTATACAGGAATGTCCAGAAAAGAATCAAAATGGAATCCGAGTTAGTTATGATTTCTTCCATCAAAGAAATAAGCCCATCTTTCAGCCTCTACCGACAGCCTATCAAAAATGCTCCGATTAGATTGTCCACTCCGGGAGCCCGGGGGTGGACGACATCATGTTCAGGAGGAAGCAATCAAGCTATGGCCGCCTGTAGACTTGTTTATGTTAAGGCCGCAGATAACAGCCTCAACAAAACGCACATGGTTGCACGTTCTTGTGAGCAACGTACATGTTCAAATGCGCTCGTGGCCAAACCCACAAGAAAGTCCATGCCCGAGAACGTTCGGCTAACCAGAGCACCCTTGCCCGCGTTAGAATTGACTTCTTCCTGATATGAGCAGCAGAAATGTTTGCCATGCCCAAGCCTTACTACCATGCAGCCCCGCGAGTAGTCGGAAGACCAGAGAACCCAGGCCCAAAGCGCGATTGCAGCCATCATCTAGTGCATCCGATTACCAACGCACCCATGCTGCCACACTCAATATGTAACATTTGGTTCCTAGCGCAAGTCAAATCTGTTGCAGCTTTGCACTTCAGTTTCAGCCTTCAACTGGCTACGAAGTTGCTGAGCAAAAGCAGTGCCTTACCGTCCGTAAGAGAAGTCGCTTCAAACGCGCCCAAGTCTGTGCTGAGCTGCATGCTAGACTCACCGCATCTCCAGGACGCCGAAGTCGGGCTGCAAGCCACTCCCACCTGCACACTTCTACCCTTCAGCGTCAGCTGCATTGAGGATGGCATGCAACGCATGTTCTGTGCGAGCTGCACCTGAGCAGCAGTCCTCTGGCTGCATCCATCTGGCCGCTTGCCGCTAGATGATGCAAGAGCCTGGCCAGCAAGGCTGGTCTGAAGCGTAGTCACAAACTGTTCATATCATAAATCTTCTCAATCAAAGGATGCGCTCCCAAGTTGGAAACTCCAACGACAACCCAGACCTTCACGAATATTTGCCTTCAGATCTTCTCCCGTGGGCCTCTGGTAGTAGTAGCCATCGTCAGGTCCCGTCCACCACTGGTCCGGAGCCTGGCGTAAAGGCAAAACGATTGATGGTCCGTCCCGGGGCTTAAAGACGTCATTCAATCCTGTGCTGCTGTCCTGTTTTCTCGTCTCTAGCAGATCTGCCTTTGCCCTACTTTTGCCACATTGTGCGTTGCAAAGGCCAGCGAAGCAGCAGGACAGATGCTTCAGGCATCTTCAGGCTAAGAGTCCTCTGAAAACTCGACACAGTTCCTCAGCAACTTCTTTGCTGTCCTGATACTATTGGCAGCCAAGAGACTCGACCTCTGCAATAACAGAGCCGTCTAATTTGACAGCAACAGGTCCCCCAAGTGCACTTATTGCACTGAAGAGGCTGGAGAATCGTGGCTAGTGCACGTGGCGACTGGTCTCCAACCAGGCCACTACCAGCAGCAACGCATCACATCCGCGTGTTGCCCAACGGAAGGGAGAGGATATCCTCTGCCCCGACCTGTTGGCAGCCCAACATTCACGGCAGGCTCCAGCTAAAGAGCTGCCTTTACATCCAGAGCTGGGTTTGCAAGGAAAGTTCAAGCACCAGGGGTCCATACCTTTGCAAGGTCGTCCATGATGCGGTTCCTGTGCGATGAGAGGCCAGAAGTCAACGAGATTCAACGAGTATCAGCGTCAACTTTATGAGACGAGCATCGAGTCGCTGATCTTCACCAAAGCAGACACTGAGTGCCAGTGCTCCTCTTTCCTGGGCTCGTTGCTTAATCGCTAAGTCAGCTTGTACAAAGTGCAGCGTGCACGCTGTCCTGTGCAAATTTGCTTGCGGCCTGGGCTCAACTCAGTGACTGTTGGCGATCTCTTGCCAGGCAAGAGCTGGCATACAGCTGCCAAGTTGTCATGGTGACAGTTGCAAACAATCATCACATACTTCGTTGCCGTAAGATATCCTGATATACCTTGGAGCAGACATTCACGGAGGATTCTCACAGGAAGAACTGCCTCAAGCCTCACAACTGAAAGGAATTGCAGCTGACCTGCTTACGGCCCTAGAACTTCTTGCCACTTGAATGCTTTCACTACAGCCCGTCAGGGAATCCCATGGACCATGACCATGGCCAACTGCCAAGCACACTGCTGCTGCTCCAAATTAACACTACTCCAACCACTTTGGCCAATGCTACCAACCCTTGAGAATTGGTTGCTTGATAATGCGTACGGCTATGTGCAGGCAAGAGGCGGTTCTCAATCAGCCTCAGCATGTTTGCCTTACTTCCGTTGGACAGCCCATTGGCCTTGCAACTTGCAAGCAGACCAGCAGAACCCTCTGCCACAACTTGACATCTTCGCATCCAGAAAGCTTCTTGCAACAGCCATCAGCCCCCAATTTGTGTTGCACGAGACTGGGCCTTTGTAGGAAGCTGTTGGAAGAGCAAAGCCTTCCGCACACTTGCAAGTGATTTGACTGCAGCGTTTCTTGGAGCAATTGACGTGCAAGATCATACTTGCCTCTGTTTCCAAGACTTCAGACACAATGTCCAAACCTGCATGCAGCATTCACGTGTCTATTTGATCGAAAAGTCAGGGAAATGTCTGATCACAAAGGTTACCTGGCAGCTCTCCTCATTAGCTCTGAGACCCTCAATGTAACTCTTCTCGCACGCTTTCGTTAAGAGCCGCCAAGCGGTCAGAAGGCTGCCTGCTGCCTTCATTGTTGTACCAGTTTCCACCAGGTCCACCACCGCCTGGGTCCCGTAAGCAAGGTCAGAGTCAGAGCTGTCCCCAGACGATCCAAAACAGATGCAGGAGTCGGGTAAGCTGAGAATTTCATGCGAGACGAAATCCCTGACAAAGAAAATGCCCGTGTCAACCCAACTCTGTTCAAAGCAGGACCTTCAGCAAGTCTCAGTGTTGTAGCATCTGCAGGAAGAGGTCGGACTCCTATCTTTAATTACACGCTGAGCCCGTTTTGCTGTAATCATGACATGGATAAGATTTCAAGCTGTAAGCCCCACTACACTTCAAACTTCCGGGGGGGCGGCATCTGCTAGGCCCAAACCGCAGGCTGCTTCCACGGAGCCGGAGACCTCCTGGCATTTCAAAACGAGTTAGTGATTCGAGGTTGTCCCCCGGCATTGGAGGTGCAAGGCCGCGGTTTGGTCTTAAGCCGCTCGACGATTTCACAAAACCGTTCTGGTGCCTAGTCGCCTAGTCTCTGCTTGGACTCATGGGATGGATGCGAAGTATCAGAAGGTGCGCACCTGTTTAAATGCTTGGAGCAAGACGTGCATGACGGTACTCTGCAAGTAACGCTTGCAGGAGCGCTACTGTCTCTGTATATTTGCATTCTACAGTAGACTGCAAGTTAGGACCAGTCAGCTTCGATCAATTTTGGGCAAGATCGTCTTCGCCGACATCTTGAGTAACGGTAAGAAGCCTTGCTTCCAAGGCATGATGCCGGGAAAACTGGGCCCGGCAGACTAGATTCTGACCTGCAAGGGAAAGGTCACTTTGCAGTTCTGAGGCTGGGCGTATCTCAACCTACTTCTACTTCCCAGCAAAATCCTCTGATATAAGTTGCGATCTCCCAGGTACCGACCTGAAGTCTCCGAACACGCGAGCCCGGGGCAGGCCTTGATGTGTGTCCTTGCGGAGTCCTCGCCGGAAAGGCCGTCAAAATATCCTAGGCGAGAATGCAGCTGCTCCGGGCTATTTATGTTGTGGCTTGGTATCGGGAAAGCATTGCTTGGCAGCACCGAGCTTCTTTTCGTCAGCGCAGGGAAGGACGTCACAATCCGCTGACCAACAAAGTCCTCATGGGGGCGTGTAAGAACAGGGCAGCTTGGAAAGAAACCCACGCTCCTGCGCCGGCTTATCCTCAGCTGCTTGTCTGCAATCGGAAGAAAACAGTTTTGATGTCAACAGACTAGTCGAATGTGAACAGAGCTAGGATCACCCACATTGATGACGTCAGGCACCAGAGCTTGCCTTCTTGCAAGCAAGATTGATTCTGCGCAGTTGAGTGCGGCTGAGTAGCACAGAGGTGCTGCGGCGCTTGCAGGCAAAGCTTGCATTTGCCAATGCCAAGCTTCAGCACAACCTTGACCGTCAGCACAGCTTTGATCGGTGTGCTTTTGCACACATTAAGCTTTACTATCTCGCCTTGACTGGAGCACAAGCAGCATCAGCATATCCTGCATCAATCCTGAGCAGGCCGACGTGCAGTGTGGAATGTTTGGCTAAACTCAAGTGTGCGGACGAGCGTCATGGATTCTTCTAGCATGTCACTTCCAGAGATTCCAATGTCCACGTTGCCTTCCATGACCTCGCATGTTGCATGACTGCAGTGAACACGGCATGTCTTAAGACGCTGCCGAGAGGCATAGCTTGGTATGTCCGCAGCAGGCAGGAAGACCTGGCACACTCTGAGTCAGTTACAAAAAACGCAAAAAATGCCAGGAGCTAATCTGCTGTGGCATGACAAGCCGAAAACGGGCGTAGCAAAGAGAAAGGGCTGCGAAATCCCATATGAGCGCGTGCCAGGTGCGCAGGTGTATTTGCGACCCAGATGGCTGACGTTTGTTGCTTCTATACTTGCCACAGGGTAGAGCAAGAGACCTATTTCCGGGCGTTCGACCCTGCTGAGGACAGCTTTTGCACCTGACGCTGCCTGAGGCATGCACCAATTTTATGGGCAGGTCCTTGCACATCGCCACGTCTAGTCGGTCTGGCCGCTTGGCATCGAAGCCAGCTCCTTTGAGGATCTTCATGACCTCACACAGAGCAGCAGTCTGGAGACTTGGACGCTGCCACAGCATATTGTACTGATGCTGGCGCCACATCTATAGCTCAATTGCTGAGCCATCGACATCCTCATGAGTCCTGTCGGCGAAGCATCGGGGAGTATTCAACAGACTTGATGGCTCTGGACATAAACATGTATCATAACTTCAATGACACCCCCTGGTCCTTCCCTTCTTTGGCACGGCAAAGAGCACAACGTTCTCTTCCAGCACTCCATTTGGCATTGAGCTTGATGCCCTGTCCCTTGCGGATCCCGAAGGGGTATCGCCTCCCCCGTAGCCAGCCATCCTTGGCTGCTTCCCAAGTTGTCCGAGCAACACCTCTATCAACTCTGAAACTTCATGACTTCCCACACAGGCTCCGAGCGTCTCGTCGTCTGCAAGGAGAGGTTGCCACGATTACATGCGTCGATTCTCTTGCTGCAAGGTAAATGTCTAAATTGTTCAATATACGTACCTGCATGCATGGTGTTGCACACATGTGGGCATTGAGGAACTGGGTAGTTTAGTACAGTTGTGCTTCCTGTGACATGGTTGTTCTTGCCGCTGGTATTTAGGTGAAACACTTTGTCTGTGTCGCTTCCACCTCCAGATATGTCATGTGCTGATACCACAGTTGCGAGAAAAAGCAGTTTCCACTGGACTGCTCCACAGGCATGAGGACGTCTGTCCATATGCAGCAGCACGGAATGAAAAAAAGTGAAAAGGGCTCTGGCCTCCAGGCACAAGCTGTAGTTTGCAATGAGCTCCTTCAATGACTGAATGGACCACTGCAGGACGTGCAGGCAGAAGCCGTAGCAAGCTGAGGGCAAACTGCAACAGGCGAGTCCTGATGGAGAGCGGTCTCACCACCGCTTCTCGCAGCCTGTTCCTTGACGAACTCCAGGGACAAATCATGGAGTCGGATGCGTCCATCTGGCATGGTTGAGAACATGAATCCAATTCTGACGGCAGCAGATCTTTCTTCGATTGCCTGAGTCATCATCTGACTCCACACCTTAGATCGTCTCAGCAACCGTGTTTGGCTGCTTCTCACTGCTTCGGACTCAGGTGTGCGCGAATGAGATGAAGTTGCTCCAGTCGTGGCAATAGAGTGTCCAGCTCTTTCCCCCGAAAGATGGTGCCTTGGCTTGAGTGCAAAGATGCGCTATGTGGCTGTGTATCAAAGATTTGCTTGTAATGCAGATGGAGACTGACCACAGGCCAGGGCGCGCAAAGCTGTGACTGGCAACAGCACGTCATCGGGAAACACAGCCAACCCCAGATAAAGATCCTTCTCCTCAAGTAGGCTTTCTGAACGAAAGGCCGCTGGATTTCATGAGACCCAGTCCTGCTGGCCAAGTCGCTTGTACGCCAGCCCTATGCAACGCTTAATAGCGTTCGACTCCACCTTAATTCTTGACAAGTGCTCAAGTGGCAGAGATTGCCGATGGAACAATACGCAAAGACAGCAGAGTCGGCACCTTCTCCTGCGCCGCAAGCTCGTCACTGAATGCAGTGAAGACAGCTGCTGGCCTGGGCACGACAGCGGCGCATCTAAACGCTTCCTCCCAATATCGTACGAAACCGGATGCGAGCGGCTTTTGATTGCGGTCACGGGCTGCTTCCAGTTGGCCTGTCACAGTGATACGTCACAAGGCTTTTCAAAAGGGGCATAACCTTCCTGCTGCACCGAGGATAGACAAAGCCAATGGAGAGCGTGAGCACAGCTTTGCAAGACGGGTCAGCAGCGCATCCTCTCCTGACAAGCATTACAAGCACCCGGCACACCCCTTGTTTGTGCAGCTGTCCTTTCAGATCCAGTAATTCCCGAGCTTCGGTGTCCTGACAAAATTACAACAGCTGGCCACGCCAACAGGCCAAGTGGTCAAGATGCGGAGACTCTCGTGTCCGTGAGGTCTCCCAGGCGCAGCAGCTCCGCCTTCTGCACCAAGTCTGCAAATCGTGTTGTGACCAGGATTGCCACACCGCTCCAGCTCCTTGGGCGTCCGCGCATTGGGATGAAGCACTCCAAGTGGCTGGCATGCCATACGTCGTCCAAGACCAAGAGGGCTCTGCGCCCAGACAAAGCTTTGTAAATCCGAGCGTACCCATCCGACACATCTCCTGGAGTATCGTGCACCCCAAAGGCTCGCAAAAGCGTGGACTGCAGGCTCAACACGTCTGGAGTTTGGCCCACGGTAACATATGCAACACCCTCGGGGAAAACCTCTGGCAGGATCGCGTTCTCATCGAACAGTGTGGCACAGGTGGCCACGGTTTTTCCCATACCACCAGCACCATGTACGAGGCAAAGCCCTGCTGACCTAAGACATTTCTGCACAGTCTGGGCAATGGACTCGGAAAGCCCGGCACGTCGAGCATAATTAGCGGGCAAAGGTGGTACATCGGTGAGGAGCTGGAGCGGCATGGCTATGAGGTTTGATCAGCGCTCATCCACAAACACATGGCAGCAATCGCAGTAGCCAGTGTAATGAGCTCCGATCCTGGCGTCGGTCATGAACTTACACCGCCCCATGCTGCGAGCTTGCAGAATCAAATTTGGTGAGAAATTGCTGGCTGTGTATACTTCTGCAATCATGAGCCAGACGTTTGATGTGCAAATGGCTTCGCCCACCTGACAGCTGTGTGCAGGCCAGGCAAGATCGAACAGTAGGAGTCCAAGAGCAGTGCGCCATGGCCATAGCCATAGGTTTGGGGATCCGTTCCACAAACCGCAATGCAGCGTGGGATTTAAACAAAATTCAAAAACACACGGGGCCTGTGTATGCCTTCCGATGTTTGACATACCTCGATCTGCTGCGGAAGGGCCTGTGAGGTTTGGAGGGTTTCTGATGCGTTCCCGTGAGGTTTTCATGGCAACCCCCTTAAGGTCTAGCTAGCGCCCCGTGAGGTTTGGCGCGCTGATTATGCATCTCATTGCCTCGCTGGACCTAACTTGCAACAAAACCCCAAACACTGAGGCACACTAAGCAAGCATGCCACCATCCCAGGCTAAACAGCGGCAATGCTCACCTCACTTTTATCCAGCCAGCTTCCAAGCCGTCCAAAGCCCTGTCCCTTGAGGTACTTGTAAACTTTGCAAAGCGGCATTGGGGTGCCAGCTCCACTTTGTCGAACTTGGCTCCGAACAGGTGGCAGGCACACATAAAACTGAATTATGCACCCAGGGTCCACTGCTGAAAGAGGGCCCTGAGTCGCATCCTTGCAAGCTGCGACTGCCTCGAAGTACCAAAGGCCAGTTCCACTGGCCCAGGCAGGTGATGCTGCAACCCATGCAAACTAAGTCTGCCAAATGGGGAGCGACTACAGCATTTGCTTCGTTCCAAGACCTCTGCTAACAGAACGAACATAACGGGTAGCCTACAGTACGTCTATGTGAATCTGCGAATTTGAGCGACACGTCCCAGCGCAGAGTGCTGGATTACAAAGCTCGAGCATATTTCCAAAACAGGTGACGTATGAACATCGGAGAATGGTTTGCATCTCCAACGACGCGATTTCTACCAAAACCTTAAAATCACGGGGCCGCGTGCGCAGCAGCAACAGCCTAATTTGAGACTACCCATACCCGTGCACATCTTCTGCCTGAGGACATCATGGGCCCTCTAGCTGCTGCACATGTCGGTTACATTAACACACAAGCTCTGGATGCTCTTCTGGCATCTTTGTTGCCCGAAGGTGACGACCTGAGGTGGGGACATGATCATGGCTCCATCTTTGTTCACAAGCTTGCTGCCCAACCTGTCCACGTTGGCCTGCTCGGGTTCCTTCTCCGTCTTTGGCCTTCAGAGTTTGACTGAATCATTGCTTCTCAGACAGGCACGGAACGCTGCCTCAACGCTGCGCTTGACTTCGTGTCGGAGTCAGCAGCTTCTGACCTCCAATGCAGAGCAACTCCTCTGACTCGGACAAGGGTTAACTGAGATATGAGCCTCTCCAAAATTCCTGCCAGGTCCTGTACTCGAATCAACCATCGCAGCGTGAGTGCAAATGCTTCGGCACGACGCAAGGCCGAAAGCACTTCCCATGAATGTCAGAGACCCGTCAGCGAGAAGTCCTCCAGGTGGCTGTAGCGAATCTTCTCAAACCAAGCGTGGTTGATGCACTCGATTATGCTGAAACGCTTCGAAGGATCCTTCAACGGCAACATGGCAAGTCCAACAAGTCCTTGCTTCACGGGGCGGGGGGGGCCTTTTGCAGCATCCCCTCCAAGAAGTTGCACATGTCCTAAACAGGCCAAATGAAGCTTATGCAGCCGTCACAAGCAGCAAGTGCCCGGGCCTTGTCTATTTCCTGGAGTGCTTCCCTGAGGTCTCCTCACGCAGAGCCAGCTTTCCCGGGCAGTTCATGATGACATGATGACTGAGGATGCAGTACCAAGCCAGAACATGCAAGGCACCATGACGTGGCTTCATAGTAGCGCAGCAACTCCTGTGATGATGGCCTCACTATGGTAGTCTGAAAGCCAGTTGAGGAACTTCTCCTCAGTGCCTCTTGCAAGTGAACCGAACACATGGACCACAGAACCAACGGCAAGCAAATGGTAGTTTCCCAAAGTAAGGGGATCCCAATATAGACCCCGAAATACTATAGCCCTTATTATGGGGACCCCCCAAGAGGGTACCCCTAATTTTAGGAAACTCCCAAATTGTGCAACCAAACCCAAGGTGCCCCAAGCCTGTTTCACGCAGCCACTCATCATACCTTGACCAATCCAATCCACAGTGATCGTATCTTTTGTGTCTCACTGTGAAAGGAGAAACAGCCAAGTTGCCATGGCATCAAGATGGGTACCAAGAAAATTGCCTCGACATGCTGCACGGCAGGAATATCACCGGTTTGCTAGATGCAGCATTCTGCAAAGTAGGCGCTTCCATCAGGAGAACACTCAAGCTAGAACCAGGCTTGTCCAAAAAGAGCCTGCTAGCTGCTACTCACGGTACGTCAGCTTAGCGGTTCGTGACATTCCTAGCAAGTTAGATTCTGAAGTTCTTGTTTCCAGAGCCAGCTCAACGTCCCCGGCTGCTGGATTGATTTCACTTTGGTGACACCAGACACGTACAACAAAAAGCATGACACAAAGCCGGACATTTGTCATTTCTCTTGTTTTTCAAAGAAGAAGATATCAAATGCTTTGGTGCCTGCCTGCCTGCAGACCCGCCGGCCAGCCTGCATGCCAGCCTTTTACTCATGCCCCTTCCGTCTTAGCTTTGCGGCTTGCTGGCTTGCTTTCTTGCTTGCTGGCTTGCGTGATTGCCTGCTGCTAGTTTTGGCACTTGCCTGCCTGCGGGCTTGCCTGCATGCTTGCCTGCTTGAATGGAGCAAGCACTCTCACTACAAACTCCAAAGCCAACCTCAAGAAGCCCTGCACCAGTCGGCCTCCATCGCGCACATCCCGACGCTCCAAATGTCCATCAGGCGGGAGAGCTAGCCAGGGAGAATGGGAATGACGACCACAGCCAAGCTAAGCTTTTAGAATTTCAAGGACCCCCACAGAGTGTAGAGTTCATGATGAGAAGCAGCGGCTGTCCTTGACGGGTTGGTTGTCCATCTCTTCTTTGCCACGCCGTGCTCTTCCAAACTGGTCACGCGAGCACACCTGACGGAGTGTCGTCAACATTCCATCTTCGGTTTCGAGCTTGTGCAAGCCTGCATAGAGAGAAAAGTTCCCGCGAGCTCTGGGGACCTAGAACAAGGTTCAACGATTTCAAATGCACTTGACAGGTGCTGCTGAGGAGATGGCAGGTATTGCAAGGTAGTCACGCAGTCCTGAGATAACCCTCCCTGAGCTGATCTCAGAGGGCGGGTGCAAATGAAAGCTGTTCCAGGTGTCCGGTCGCATACACTCAGTTCAAAACAACGTTTTTCTGCCTCAACTATGCGAGCTGCCTTGAGTGGAGCTGGCTTTCCGGAGCAAAGGGCGCCGTCCAGGTCTATCAATTTCCATTGCTCCTCGCTCTAGGCAGAAGTTCCGTTCGCTAATCAAGGTGCAAGAGCGCAAACAGTCCTTCTTGTCTGGCATGTCAAAGCTGACGATATTCGCCGGCTTGATGTCCAGATGCACGTACCTCAGTCCAGGCTATCCAGAAAAGAAGCCCAGAAAAGCAGAAGGGCTCTTCCAGTGCTGCCATCAAGACACCCAAAAGTATGCAGGCCAAAGACCTTAGCTAAAAAAAGACGTGTCAGCACAAACGATGTTCCAGCTAGTTCGTCCAAGATACAATGGAGACCAAAGCCCACCTTAAGCAGGGTAACACAACGAACCCATTCGGATATGGCGCGAGCAAAACCTTGCTTGCTTAAACAGGCTTACAATGGCTTACACTACACATTCTACATTTGGAAAAGTCCTGCCACCTGTCTGCTGTATCCAAGCTACACAAGCAACTATGAGAAAACGCAGTGGAAAGCCTCAGAGCTACCATGTCTGGTAAAGTTAAAGTCTGAAAGGAATATACGGGAGAAATGGCTTCTTGCGCTAAGCTGAGCTGTCTAGATCAAGATACTCAAACATAAATTTCAATCCTGGCTTTGTTGGTCTGCAAGGCCCGCTGTGTAAGCCATCACCTTCAGTAGCGGACTTCCCGAACAGCCCCTTTTGATCTGATTGAGAAGCTTCAGCCCAGCCGCTGCAGTGAACGGTGCTCGTCTGCAGACAACTTTCGTCCTTCTTCTGAATATCGGGCAAGTCTGTCCTCATGAAATATGCTAAGACCACATCTGCCAGAACATGTCAGTCTTTGTCGGAGCATTTGAGCATGGCATGCTGCACCCGCTCCAAAGCCACGAACGTCCTCGAGGGACTCTCCTCCGAGTTCGAAGACAATGAAAAGCGACCTGGTCAGCTACATTTACATCTGCATCTAGGCTAGAAAGCGCGCTGAAGCATGCACAAGCCGTTGAATGTCCAAGAGGGTAACTCGGATTCTGCATCGAGGCCAGGATTGTCATCCTCATCCTTCGAGTAGCTGATAACTGATACCTGGCTTCAGGAGCTACCAATAATCCCTTCCCTCGAAGAAGGAACGTCTCCCACCTCTCTTCTGAACCCACCAAGGAGTATGTATAATTGCGGGCGGTTTTATTGCGAAGAGTTATAGGGTATCTCATCACCTTCAATTCAATTGAAAACCTTTTTAAATCTGTCATTAAATCCTGAAACGTTCGGTTGAATCAAAATTGAACCTGAGTAGCTCTATTCATAATCTAGTTAAAACCTGTTTGAGCTCAGTTTAAATTATCAATTGAGATCTAACTGGAATCAAATCAAAAAGCAATGAAAATCCGAAAATCAATAAACCGCTGATGTAAGTCAATTGAAATCGAATAAAAGTTGTAAAATCAATCGAAGGCGAATTTCAATCCTTTAGATCTATTCAAAAGCATACGAAAATGCGTGAAATCCTGGCAAAAAAAAGACTTAAACTGACTTAACATCAAGTGAAATCTGATCAAAGAAAATTTAGACTGGATTTTAAATTGCAATAGAACCCCATAAAAATCGCATTTAGATTATATGTAACTTCCTTTATAAACATTATGCTAGTATAACATGAAAACCCAAAAAACCATGGGGATTTCCAATTCCTTTTGGATTCCGAAGTACAACCACCCTCATGATCTCAGAATCTCTGTTGCATCATTACGGGGACCCTTTTCAAAGTAGGTGGCCGCTTCAGCAGGAGAAACATTTATTCGTACGGGGGCGAATATTAGGGGCAACGGAGCACATGCTTGGTTTTGCTGAGGCAGGTACGAAGCAGGAGCTGAAGTCAATTTTTCTGATCCTCAGCATTACCAGTCAAACAGATTCGCAGCTCTTATGATCCTGCGTAGTGCGTCCAAGAATCAGCTCCCCCCTCGATGACCGTCTACGCCTCAATCAGCTGCAATCGCCGGGCTCATGTCCCGGACGCAATTTGTGGCCAGGGCACACGTGCGATGGCACGTCCACCATACGGGGATCGAAGGATCTGGTTGCGAACTCTCCCCAGTCCGTCGAATTTTCGGCCCAGTCCGTGTCGATCTCCTGGCATCTGAGGTAGCACCAGTCTTGATAGTTTGGTGTTTGGATCGCAGTGCATCCAGGGAACATCCGGCGGCTCCGTGTCACTAACCTGCTGGGTATTTTTTCTGCCCAGAGCAGCTAGACCCTGGGAGATGCAACACGTCTTTCTTCCCGAGGCACGTCGGATTGCGCATCCTCCGTCTTGCTGGAGGATCGCTTCCCAGTCTGTATGGAAAGCAGGACATCTATACCTCTCCAAGTGAAACTGCTCGCGCATTAGCAAAGAGGCACGCTAAAGAGAAGAACCGTAGCCAACTTTCTGAGTCAGGCAGCTTTTCTTGAAAGATCGGGTTGCATCCTCGTCCTTGGAAGCACGATGCTGGAAGAAACTTCAATAAGGGCAGAGTCGGTAGGATCGGCAGGTAGGAGCCGCTCTATCTCTTTGTAGAGTTTGACGGCCACATTCTTCAACCCCTGCCAGGCAGTTCGGCCAGCACAATCTATCTGTACAAAAAATCTCTTCCAAATTGCTGACATAGTCCCCCCCGAGCATTGTTGGCATTCAAACAGCTGACCAGACAGCGACTCCAAAAACGGAGATCATATATGCCCCGAATACGATGATCCTTATTCTGGGGACCCGCAAAGTGGTACCCCTCGTTTAGGGAAACACCCAAATATCCCGGAGCAGCCCGGCTCGCCTTTCGATCCAGTCCCTTGTACACCACTGCATAGCTGCCTGGAAGGTATGCATGCGCCGTGCGCGAAAAGTCTTGAAGGTACAGGCCGCGCCACAGTACCAGAGCTGCGTGAAGCATGTAGGGCACGAGTCTGATTTGAAGGCTGGTTGCCTTCCCCCAAGACGTGGTCTCTGGAAATCTTGAAACGATCCTGAAGAAGCTCCTGCACGTGCCAGCGAACACACGATTCTGGACAGAGCTTGATAACCACGAAGCACTTCCATTCATGCTTGAAGCTGAACTTTAAGCGGCGAGACCGTCTGTGAACCCAACGCAGAAACAATGGAACCACAGCAGACTGTACGCGGCTCCCCTGCTCGAGAATGCTTGACAAACAAGACGAGAGAGGAGCAGCAGTGGATGGAAAGGAGTGTCGAGAAAGAAATACACGGACTCAATCCAGACAGCCATTCCTTGCTGCAGCAGTCCTGGCTTCCTGGCATGCTCCTTGTGGTACCTTACTGGAGCCCGCAGAAAGTCGCCACCATTCCCAGGTGCTGTTATAGAAAAACTCACAAACACCATCCGCTCCACATGCAAAAAAGTTGCGCGGCCGGCTCAATCGGTTGTCCCCAACATGATGCCGCAAAGGGCTGCTGGATCTGATAAAGCTGCGGTCAGACAGGACTCCTCCAAGAGCATGAGGCATCTCCGTGGAGTGCTGCCCGGAACATACAAAAAGTGCTGCGATTTCTTGTGCTGGGGTGGAGGTGGTCAGACGCATCGTGGTTGAGAAAAAGGTGAAACCAAGCACGACAAGGTGGAGGCAAGATAGGTCCATGCAGTAAATGGCAAGCCTCCTTGGCGTTCAGATGGTCATGCGCTTTTTTCGGTTATACACTTGAAAAATCTGGTAGGTTCCTTTCAGGAACACCTTCCACCGTCTCACAGCGACACCACTCGAAAGCAGCAAGAGATGACGGATCAGAAGTTCACTGCAGGACGAGATCACCATGACTGTGCAGAGAGTTGCTGCATCGCCAAATGAGTAATCGGCAGGCCGAGTCCGGAACCATATGTTGGAAGCACATCCTACCAAGCTGTCGCACCCACCTTGCTATTCCACAACCGCACATCACCAACACATCAGTTCCGGGCTCAGGCCGTAGAATGTCAACTAACCGAGCGACATAAGAGGCATGCATCAACTGGGCAAGATTTGCTTTGAAGATCTTGCAGATGATGAAAAAGCCTTCTGCCCTGTGAGTTTTTTCAGGCTCTTTTGAATGTCTGTGCAAGAGGGCTGCACAGAGCGAAGACCCCGTGGACTGACTAAAGTACGCCGTGTCAAATGCGCTCCAGCCAGCTTCCTCACCAGCAGCCGCTGACATGATTGGCGGACTTCCAGACTTTTGACGGAGATGCACAAAATCTGGCTGAGACACAGGCTACCGCGTGCGGTCAAGGCCTTTGCAGGCTCCTTGTCACGACACTGGCTGGAACCAGCGTGGATCCTAACCTCTGCAGAAGCCTTTGCAAATGCACTTGGACCCACACTGCAGCGGCAACCTTCGGCTCAAGGAAAACACACGGTCGTGACCTGAAGGCTTGAGGCGGCTTGAAATGAGCTTGACCTCAAGCACTTTTGTAAATACCTCAACTTTAACTCGTGCACATCCGTTTGCGCAGCAGAGTTCGGTGTCTCAGCAGGAACCGAGTGTGGTGCGCCCGTGACTCCTCGATGTCACCCTCGACACAAGGCACTTCCCACACCTGGAAAGCTGATGCACTGATGAGCTCAAACTGTCCTCGCTCCGAGGTGCGAAAACATGCAGAGCCTTGTCGTCCACCGGCGATGGGTCGCCACCTTTGCCAGCGCCGTTGCACGCTGTGCTGGCTGCAACCTCCAGCGCCTGACATTGCAATATCATGCAGCATCATGAAGGTGCAGCTCCCCCTGCCTCTGGCCGCATACACAAGCCACATCCTCTGTTGTCGCATGCTAGACATGGAGCGGTGCAGAGACCGCACCCAGTGTTGCCGCAAGCCACACAGAAAGCCTGCACGCTGCAACAATCTACAGCCTTCTACATAAGCTCCGTGAGAGGGCACACTGCCTTCTGCGGGAGCTCTGGATCTGCCTGCGCAGAGCTATTGGCGCGCATCGAAGCAATCATTGGTGCAGACACGCGTCACGTTCTGCTCAGATTGAGTGGCTGGTTCATGCGTGACGAAAGTAAAACCGTCTTGCAAATGCATGCAAATGCTGCTCTACAGCACACACTGACCCCTTGCAACTGCGCCGGCTTTGTTTTGCGAACAACGCGCCCGATACGCGCCAAGCCTGCTCGCTTTTGGGGTCATCTCCCCGATAGCGACAACAGCGCTGAGCGCACGAAACCTGCATGTCAGGGGGCTCATGTGAGAGTTGAGGTGCCCTCTCAGAATTTCAACCGCCACATTGCCAAGGGTACCTTCAGGGGGTTGCGACAGGGCTTTGCAGTCGAGAGACTGATCCCAGAACGAGGAGAACACCTACAATCAAACCTCCAACTCCTGCCACGGCAGGTAAGAATATCCTTAGCTTGTTGCAGATTGGTCTGCCAGTTCCACTCCTGCTGCAACATGTCATGCAGACCTCCTGGAGCCGCACAGCCACATACACCTATTACTCCGCCAGGTGGCTGCTCTAGGGATTCGCCAGCTGCACAGGGCAGAAGCGTCAGCAAGATCAGCAGGGTCTGTGAGCCTGAGCACTCCGGCCCAGTGACCACCGTGATAAACAAGAAGACACTGTGCTCCGGACGGGCACATCTCTGCCCAAGCATAAACTTGGAACCAGCACACCGAGCGGGAGGATGGCAAGGCAAAAGCTACACTGCCGGTCTTTCCACAGACTGACCTAGCTCACAAAAAGCCATGGCTTTTCTGCTAACACGCCTTGGAAATGCTTGAAGCACACCCTATCCAAGCTAATCTTCACAGCTTTTGCCATGACTTGGCCTTGATGCATGGGGCTGTTGGCGGCTGTTGCTGCCATTTGCTGCCCTTGTGGCTTGAACTGCTTGAACCCCTTGAACCCTTAAACCCCGGCGTTGATAGATCAGACGCAAGGCCCTCAAAGAAGAAGGTAGTTGCGTCAGACACAAACGGACTAGACAAAATTACGTGTCAGCCAGTCACCAAAGCTTTTTGTTTCAGCAGGCACGAACCTCACGATGCTTCCTGAGCATAGCTACCAGCTACCACTCATAGAAGCCCTGCTCAATCCGCTGCCGGCGCCCCGCTAGACCGCCCTGCCAGATGACGGCTCGAGCAGAAAGCAAAGGCCGGAGGACAACATCTTTTGGCCTCCGCAAGAAAGCGCTCCGCGCCCAGTTGGTCGGCAGGCTCGAAGCGCGTCTGGGCATTTCACTGCGTGCATCGCAAACCAGGAAAAGCCCAAACCTGGCCTTCCACATGTTGTCGAAGTCTAGCTCAAGTCTGATGGCCGGGAAGAAGCGCACAAACTGCGCACCAGCGGCATGAACTGCAGAACAGTTGTGAGACAGCCTCTGTGAAGAGAGCACTGCATGATGTTGCATGACATCTCACATCACATCTGATCATCTTTCGTTGCAGGGTTGGGATCCAGAGTTTTGGTGACTTCACAGTCGGTCAGGCGAACAGCTTGGAATTGCCTGATAAACATCATGCAAGTGGAGATTAATGGGTAGATAGAACCCTTCCAGCAAACTTGAGTGCTCCCAAGTGGTTTCAGCTGCCTGGGCAGTCCAAAAACATGTTCTTGGCTTGTAAATTGGACCTATACGTACTTAAAACGCCAGGCGTGCAAAAAACTTGTCAAATAAGGGCACAAAACATCTCTCGAGGAAGACATGAATGCCGCTTCAAGGCATGGCACAGCAAGATTCTGGTTCCAGACGAGAACATTAGCCGTTCCACGGCAGCCATCTCGCGGATCTCAGATTGTTTGCTAGCAAGAATTCTTTCAGAATCTTTTGGAAAGGCCTCGGAACCTGTGACTAGATTCATCTTGTGCCTGCACACACAAGGTGTGATTTGTGGCATTGCCATGGGTGGCTTGACTGCATACAGACAACAAAGGGCAAAGTCGTGCAAGACATGTCAAACGCGTGCAAACCGGGACCCTTTCAGGATTGGCAGGCTTTAGTCATGCAGGCTTTAGTCATGCAGTTTTTGCTCACATCGGATTGCGGGCGAGGCTTTAACAGTCCAAAGAGACTGATGCACGTAAAGCAATGCTGAAGCTTTGCCTATGTATAATCGGAGATCACAAGGATAAGGGCAGAAGCGACGTTGCCGATCTTTCGCGTCTCTACGTCATCCCATGCTTTAGAACGAATCAATCCCAAGTAGTTTTCTGCACCCCGGAAACGACTTGGGGGGTGCTAACCAGCTTTAGCTCTCAAGTGCGTTTCTTATGGAAGAGGCAACCGTCAGGACTTTGCAGTCAACACCCATAACCTCCGGGCCCTATTATTCAGGGATGCGGGCCCAGCTTTGTCTAGGGTATCTCTTGCACCTTCATGTCGCTACCTATGTTTGAAACCGCTTCCTGGGATTACGTGGGGTTGGATACAACACATGATTTCCTCGACTCTCAAAGCCAGACCGAAATCAAACTTGCATATCTCGTTCAATGAGTGCGCATGGCACTGACAAGTTCTCCATCGCAGGGCACCAAATGACCGGCCTGGCAAATCACTGCCACGCAGGATATGCACCTTGGTAAGGCTAAAGCTTATGATGTTCTGTCTTGAGCTGACTTGCAGGTCACTTACGGAAAGTGCGATATGTACAAGCGCAACCAGCCAGCGCAATCGTCACTCGCCTGATCTGCAAATCCAGATCACGCACGTTCATGCTGCCTAATGGTTTGCACAATATCTGTACGAAGCACCGATGTTGAAACGTGAGCCTGCCAGCCACTGCGTCTCAGAAAGGCGCGCGTAAGGTGGAGCAGCGCCATACCTTGAGACTGCCCACTCGTTCCTGTGCTTGCCTAGTTTATCCGATCCTTGTTCTGGGTCAGCCACGTTCAGCATGATCGTCTCTGTTGATATGCTGGCATAGGCAATGTGTGAGCAAATGCAGATTTCATTCCACTCACAGAGCGGCCGGGCCGAGAAGATCGGCTGGAGCATTTCGTGGATGCGAACGTCCAGCCCGCGCGGCATCTGCGAGTAGAACAGCCGCCCCGGCTCCTTCAGAATCTTTTCAGAAGCGCATGAGGCAAGAAGCCCTTCTCAGAGCCCCGGACCCAGCTCATGGACTCCTTGAAAGCAATCCTGGTCATGATCAGCTCTTGACTTTGCCCTGGCTTCTCACTCATGTCCTGAAAGAGACGTAAGACACAATGCTGTCGGTAGAGGGAAGGCTGCCTGACTATTGCTCACAGTACTGCAGAATGTTACATCATGTTGGCATGCGAACAAGTCGGCTGGGCCCATTGGCATGCTGGCAATGCTGGCACGATGCCTGCGATGTGATGGAAGAGGACACGGCTTAGGACACGGCTTGGCCAGGAGACAAGCTGGAGTCTGTTTCAAGCCACGTTTTGCCTCTCGTGCCTTAGGTCTTGCTGTGCCCGCTGAAAAGAAGGTAGCTGAGAAATGAAGTCGCATCGTATTTCCCACTGCAATGGTTTTTAAATCTCGTTGCATTTGCAAGCAGGGATGAACATGAATAGATGGGAAATGCTGCGACTGCCTCTCACCAGAAAACCCGAACCTGGAAATGTGAAACCGCGAGCATTCATCTGACTTCAGCATTGTTGGCAAGGGCCAAGTGCCGAGTGTAAGCCACGCCTGCCTCTGACTGAATTCCGGATGTGCCCGAGTCAGCATTGCCTGCTCCAGTCAACGTACAGTTGAAGCTTTGTCAGACGAAGATGGATGCGTTGGACTTTGGCTTCGCTGAATCGAGGCGGTACTGCAGCAAGAACCAGACCGTGATCTGATCTGCAGCGCCCTCGCCGGGGCGATCACCATGCCCACCGTCATAGAAACATCGCATGATGCGCCTTCCGCTGGTACAACCTTTGTAGTCGAAACAAGCGAAATTCCGCTCCCCACCGTCCCAGTAGGTGCGGGTCGAGCTGGCAACAGTGTCGCAATTGTGCACTGCTGCCCAGCCCTGTTGAACTTTGTTCAGTGGCTCGTAGATCCAACCAGGCTGGAAGCCACCAGAAACGCCTCCTGCAACTGGCATGATATCATCTTGACGCCCGTGGAGCTGGAGCATGGCCGTCTGTCGACAATCCGTCCGATCACGAACCAGCTCAAACTCGGCCCCCAATCCATACCCGAGGAGGGGAAGACCATACCAGGGCACCACAGCTGCAAACGTCCCAGGCAGCGACTGGACGAGATAGTGGGCAAGCATACCCCCATTGCTCTCACCGGTGACATAAACACGGCTCTGGTCAATGCACAAAACAGAGCTGATGGCCTGGATGACTGAGTAGATGAAAAGCCTCTCGTCATAGCACCCTGACCAGTTGCAGCTTCCACACTTGCCTTGCTCCCAACATGATGCATAGCAGTCAGCGGTAACCTCATCAGTGACGCATGTCTGGTCGTCTCCAGCAGTTCCAACGTTCCAGCCTGTTCCAAGGTCTCCACCCCCAGGAACAGCATCGTCGAGACCCTGTGGAAACACACTGACAAAACCCAGAGACTTCCCAAAAGTTCCATAGTCATGGCTGTAAGCCATCGAATCCGCTTGGTCCCCCTGTGAATGGAGGGCGATGAGAAGCGGTGCTGGACGCCATCTCGAAGTGCCCACACCCTTGGGTAGCTGGACATAGAAGGAGCGATTCACCGGTGTAAAGTCCATGATTGTCAGAGGTACCCAACCTTCAAAGGCCTCTCCCTCAGTCGCTCCCCAAGCCCGCGGGCCTCTGCCCGTTGAGCACCCCACAGACGGCATCTCCTCGCCAGGAAGCTTCATGTCCTTCAAGCTCTGCAGCCACTCTGTCTTTGAGCGCGCAAGCTGCACGAGGCACAGCAGGGTGACCGCTGCCCGAAGGAACGCCATGCTTTGGAGCAGACTTGAAACTAAGAGCTATCCAGTCCAGAAGAAAACAACAATGGCCTTCGGTCGACCAGAGTGCTTCTGATGGATTGTACCCGATTTTGTCATAGGAATAATCTGCCTTAAGTTTCCGCGTCCTGGAGCCAGGGAGTTTGAACACGAAGCGTGCAGATCTTTGTCAACATCCGTCTCACAATCGGATTGTGGCTGTCAGAACTTCTGCGACAGTGCTACCTTGGCATCCTCAGCAAGGGCCTTGCCATCTCACTGACAGGCTGGGAGAGCATCTCACCAGCAGAAACCGCCTGCAAGTTAAAGAGCTGCTTCTAATTCAAATGAGTCAGGCCAACCTCCCTGCGTAGCACATGGATCTCAACATCCTCAAGCAATGCCACACAAAAAATCTGAGGTGGCCTCACGATCAGCAGGATGGCACATCTGCTCGACCTTTCGGACAGTAATCTCTGTCGCCAAACAGTGTTTGAACTCAAATTGAGCACGGAATGCCTGGGAAGATTCTTCGCAGTATGGTGTTTGCACCACCATTGTGCCCAGGACATCTGCTGATGCGCGCTGCAAACATGACCAATGATAGCTGCTTGCCGAACGGCATGCATGATTACCTTGATAGCTCTTCAACAAGTTTCAAACTCGAGGTTGGGATGCATTGCGGTGGGTAGCTAAAGGCCGGAGCAGGCTGTGGTGTCGTGACACATTAGCATCTGCACTCAAGACAGCTGCAGCCTTCCTTGAATGCAGCGCACCTTCTTCCCGAGAGGGGTCTGCGCGTGCAAGTCTTCAGGCATATGAGGAATTCACCAGGCAACAGTTACACAAACAGGCATCTCCAAATGTGTGGAAGTGAAGTTTGGGTGAAACTCGTGGCCCTCCGCTTCCACACGAGAATTCACTGCTGCAATTGCAGCAGCTGGAGTTTGCGATTGACAGCTGAACATCCTGTTATCGAATTTGGCGAGATACCACGAACGAACCTGACATGAAGATACATTCCGCTCAGCTGTTGACCCGCGGTGCACACAGCAAAGAAAACCTGCTCTGCCCAAAGACACAAAAGGTATGTTTAACGCATCGAGTCCTGGTTGAATCCTGTTGAGTCCTGGAAAAAAGCACCAACGGCTTCTGCTGCAAGGGATTGGCAAAGCCCGCTGCCAGGCGACAGCAGTGAAACATTGCACGGTGTGCGATTCTGTTCAACGGCTACTGAACTGGATCGTCCATGGCTGCTCGAGAAATCTCTGGCAAATCCCGTGATGAGACACTGATGAAGATTTAAGGTTGACCAGAAGCTGGTCCACACATACCCGCCATGTTATCGCTGGAGCAGCCATAGGTTTTAGCACCTAGGCCTTCGTAGCTTCTTCAAGCTTTGCCTCGCAGCATGTGAGCAATTCTTCGAGCACGTCCTCCTTGAACGGTTCTCTTCAGATCTGCCTACTTCTTACATCTTCCCTTTCTGTTTCAACAGCCCTTCGCAACTCTGTCATGCTTTGTCTGATTCTGCGTTTGAATGAATAAGCTGCGTCCTCTGGGCTGCTGCACCTGAGGACCCTGGTCTGAGGTAGGGTTTACAAATCTTTGGTCTTTAGCTGTCTGTTAACGCCATCCCCAGTCAATTTTCCCAACCTTCCATATGCTGCGACCTCGCGCATTTCTGAAAATTGGCCATGCCTTGTCAGCCTTCAGCTTTTCCACCTCCGTCCTGAAACAATGGTCAGGTGCCAGAGGACCGGCTAGACATGATCAGGAGTCAGCAGTCCTGAGTTTAGCCAGTTCCGCTTCATCCACTGGCTTTCCAAACTCTCCGCGGTCATAGCGATCTTGCTCCAGCAGCCACTGGGCAGGTGCGAACATGACTGCGCTGCCCTGAACTATAGGGATGCCCCGAAGCCGGCAGGTGTGTCTGCCTTCATCATGAACTCGCAAGGATCATCCGGACACTTGATCAGCAAAGCTGTTACCATAGCCTTGCCAGGAACAGGATTGACAGCAGCATGCCAAGTGATAGGCGGCCAGACCTCCATGATTGGGTTCATCTTTTCCTGTGCGGCTTCATAGGTTTGCGGAGTAATGGGATGACAAATGTTAGTTAATGCAGGCAAATGCCAAGCAGCCACATTCATTTTGCAGACGCTGGACTTCGGATGCGTCTTGCAGCTACAACTGTGCCGCAGCTCCTCCTTCCGGTGCGTGTGGCACGCCAGATGCCAGGAGCTGGGAGGGATGCGGGCTTGCACCAGCCCCCGTGCAAATGCCTAGCTCTACTTTCTGCTTTTGGGGTACCTTGCCTAAAGCAAGGCAGGAATGCCCAAGGCCTTTCTTTGGCTGCTCCAGGATCCTGTTCAAATGGGCAGCAAGGCCTCCAGCATGTACATGTAGGCCTATGCGCGTCTCTGCTGCTACATCCCATTTGGGATGTACGAAGCGTCAAAATTTTACGCTGCCTGAATTCGAGAGTAGCCCACCATCTCGGAGGGGCTGCACAGAATTCGGACTGGCGCTCACGCAGGGAGCGCTTCACAAGATCAAGCACGACTGACTGTACAAATCAAATTTGAGATCGGTTGAGCTTACAACATTCCGAGAATTGTTGCTTTAATTACGGACTGTCTTCATCGGGTATGTCGAAGTTGTTGTAAGTGCTGAGCTCTTTCTCATGTGTTCGCTCACTCGACCTGAGGCCACGCAGATGGATGCGTAGGGCGAGCTGCGCCTCAGTATTCAGCAAATTGCTGTGTGGCAATAGCTGCGCCAATTCCAAGCTGAGCACCCATGAATTCGAATGGTACCATTCGGCCGGACCTGACTCCAAAGAAATGCACCGCCATGCAAAGCAACCACAGCCTTCCAGCAGAACTGAAGGCTCTAGGACTCTGAGCTACGCGCACTGATGATCTGTTGGATAAGTCCTTAGGAACAGGCAACGACACCCCGGCCCGTGGCTTGGCTTGGATACTACCTGTGCTGCAGGCACGAATCCTTGACACAAACAACAAACGAGAATAGCTCTCACACGCGTCCGCCATGTTCCGCTCACTTGAATTCCTCGGCGCACCTTCTCCGTCTGCTTAAGCCATGCCTCTCCAAAAGCACAGATTTGAACAGAAGTGAAGTACCAAACCAAGGTGAAAATCTCATGTGTGGGCTCAGGCTTGCACAGCATTTTTCATGGGGCGCATAGCTTTTTGCCTGAACACGCCATCTGTGACTGCAAGGTGCAGTGCTTGTGCCAACATGGTCTCCGGGTGTTGGGCCAGGGCGAGGCAGAGCCCGAGTTCGGACTGACACTTCTGGCCTCCAAGGAGGAACCACATTTCAACGCTGCTGCGCTGCTCATGGGCGGGTGCAGTGCCTCCGCACACATTGAGCGTGCACGCTCTGCAGCGGAGGGCACGGGCAAGCGAAGACGCGCCTGGCAAAAGAACTGTCAACTGATCAAATAAATGGTGCGAACAGCCTCGACCTTGTTCGCCCCACTGTCAGCTGGCGGCCCAGGTGCCTTGCATCTGCCAGAATGATGGGTCATACAGGAATCAGATATGTGATGCTTGGAGCCTTCACCTGGCTTGTCGGAGGTATCAAGCGCTGAGGCGACCGTGGTCGGACATCCTGTGTGAGGCCCTCTACTCACGCACTGTATGGCCTCTTTCCCAATGGAGTTGTGCAAGTTCCTGATGCTGTGCGGCACTTGAAGGCATGGGACAGGCTTTGGGCGTTTTGTCCACGTTGTCGACCGCATGCCTGCATTCAGGTTCAATCGGCCGTCTGCCAAGGGCATGTAACAAGATGTACAGGGCCTGTCATCCGCGTAGGGGCTGCCCAAGCCAGCCCCAGCAATGAAAGCAGCTGCAGCTCTCATAATGCTGGGACTTGCGGGTGCCTTCATACGTCCACATTGCTGCAGCACTCTCCCTCGCCTCCCAGAACCGTGCATGCCTGGTCTCTCCAATACGAATGCCCCATATGCCGTTGCGTTAATCTCGCACCCTCCTGCAGAGCTGCGAAGAACAGATTGGATTTGGATCCGTTCATTGATCGAACAAGGACATTTCATAGCAGCGTCCTCGGGAATCTCAGCTTCCTCCTCTTCCACGGTATTTTCTGCAGATACTCGCAAAGCCTGCAGGACGTGAACAGGGAAAGGCTTCCTTGCCGTCCCCCCTTGACAGCCTCGAGCTGAGACTCATCGGACTCGGCCTACGATCTGACACTCTCCTCTAAAGCCCTGCAGAAATCTGCAAGAATACCGGAGTCTTTTAAGCAATTTCTTCCTGAGATCCGCACACCTGACACGCATCGGCTTGGCAGGCGAGCAGATGGCGAAACTTCACGGCTTTCGCCGACTGTTCGATGCGACTTGGGGCTGGCCTTGGAAGCGACACGCATCACTATGCATACAACTGCGCCAGAACTGTCTCAGCACCATGAACCATGGGTGCCGGGCGTATCCTGATCTGGTTGCAGGAGACATTTGTTGCGGGGATGTCGGCCGGGCACGCAAGGCCTGAAGGGCTTTGAAGCTTCCCCGTTCAACAAAAAAAGGTTCCCGATTGCCTCGTTCTCCTTGCGCAAACACAAATTCTCTGCTAGCAGCTCGTCGTGGGCTCTCAGCAGATCTGGAAGTTCAATCCTGGCAAGTCTGGCTTGAAGGGGCCATACGCGGTCCTACCACGGAAGCAATAGTGAAGCATAAAAGAAAGGCTGGGCAAAGACGGGCAAAGCAAAGCCACTAAATTCAAAAACGTGTTTCATGTTGTTGCATGGCCTGCAGCCAGACCGGGCGCGGCTCAGAAACCTCTCCAACCTTCTTGAATGTCAGCCAACGGACTTCGATGATGTGCTAAGCAAAGGCACAGACCCACCAGATTCCGCACGGTCTATTTGCAGCTGCGCCCGCCCCAGCAAGGCTTCCAGTCGCATGCTACCTTTGTGGGACCAAGTCTGAGCCGCTCCTAGCAGCCCTATGACACTGCGTGCATGCGTCT